TTTATTTTACCATCCTTGACCGGTTCTGAATGTTCCAGTTCTTCTATCTTCTTTTCTTCTCCACAGAAGACATCTTGTTTTCCACATCAGCAGAGATTTCATTTTTTAGAGAAGACATTTCGGAAGACACCTTTTCTTCTAAGGAAGAAATATTAAACAAAAATGTATTTTCTATAGAATAGGATATGATAGAAACATGTTTTGGCTGATAATGGCTTTGGTACATTTTCGTCTGGCCATCCTGTATATATTTTTTGCAAAAATGTACAATATTATTTGGGATAACCTCTTATCGGGAATGTTGATGATAAAGTTAAGCTTTAGTTTTAGAAATCAATGGTTCAGTGTGCTAAAAATATATTTGATTGTATATGTTATACAATGTAACTGAATTGTTAACTATATTAATAAATGTTATAATATCTATATTTTGTGGTCCAAATTGTCTATTCAAGAGCATGTAAAAATTATTGACATATTTTACTATATTCTAAAAATGTGCTAAACTATTTTAGTTGGTACCTAGTGTGAAATTTGTGCTGTTACTGTTACTAAGTTTATAAAACATTATTTCTATAAATACCTAAGTACTATACTACTACCCATTCATGTGTGTAATAAATGTAACTATACTTGTTCACAAATACAGTTGTTAAAATATAAAGAGTGATCCACAAGAAATGTTTCCAAAATAGCCATGACCGACGAGTCATGTCCGTGATAATTATGCACGCCTCCGAATTAAATCCAGTAATTTACACTCTTACATGCGTGAATTTTTATAATGCCTACTTTAGAAACGTTTTTTTAGGATCACTCGATACCTATTCATATACTAACTGTGCTAAACTATTTTAATTCGTAAGAATCTATTTTTGTTAGCTGTTAAGAACTCCAAGTTATAAAATATCGAATTGTTAATACCTTATATCTATCAGTACTTTCAACATAGCCGTTAATGAATCGGTAAATGGATTGTACGAGTAGATTTAAGCTATTATAACACACAAATTATTGTGATGAGTACTACCACTCCAATATATCCCCTAAATAGTAGTATACCATAAATAAATTACGGGTTCTAGGTGAATATAGGTGGTCATTAAAAAACAAATCATTCACAGTCCAATAGGTATGTAGATACTTCGGAATTGTCCATCAAATTTTAACATTTTTAAAAATTCTAAAAATTAAAGTATTACTTAAGATTATGGTGTACATTTACTGTTCTTTAGTCCTCTTTTTACTAACAATATTTAACTAATTCAATGTTTTCAAATTCCTGTTGTTGATGAGCTGGAGAGCCTCGAACATTGTTAGTGGCTCTTTACAAATTTATGGATAGCCTAGTTGACGCTATTGCAATTTATCCTATCCTCTCCTCTTTATATGCGTTCCATAGCTAGGTGTACAGATGTAATATCATTTATCTTAATTTGATAACGATCATTAGTGTTCTTAACAGAATTCTGCTACATTCTAGCTCTAATTCAGATAGGTTGTGTATAGTGGATACATGACAGGCGACATATTCCATTTTCTTGTGGTATCCTGCTATAATCTTCAAATAAAATGAAGCTCACTCTTGTTTATTTAGTTTTTTAGAATTTGTGGTCTTAGGTTAACATTTCCTGGAAGTAGCTTTGCTGCACTATCATTATCAATATCATTTTTTCCTCATAATATCTCAAAAACTGGTCATAGCAAGTTGATATAACTTTTACACTTTATTAACATACCAAAACTAAGTCATATACGGCGAAATTTTAAAATATAGGGCGATACCATTCTCAATTTGTGACTCGCCCTGTAACTAATAATATTAATAATAATTTACTTTATAGATTTACTGGAAATATTTTTCGATATTATTCCAAAATATTTGTAATCAAAGTATTTTGTAAAAAAAAATGAGGCCTTAAAAAATGACCAATTTACAATTAGTGCGTATTTGTTCAATATTTCAATTTATGATATAGACACGCAAAAAGTTTTAAATAAAACTTATATGGCTTTAAAAGTAAGTTTTTTAAAGTATTTTTGGATATGCAGGATTTTTCTTTTTTCCTGGCAAATAAAAATGTATATTTTTTAAATTTAGTTTTGACTTTTAAAATGGTTTGTTAATACTGTATTCAAACCTAGGTTTTTTAAATATTCCCTTGTTGTCAAGCAATTAATTTTTTATGAATTAGAGAATTGTGCAAATCCCAAATTAAATTATCATAATTTAGGTAGATTTACAATGATTCAAAAATTGTTTAGGTGGTCCGGAGATTATTAACCGAATACCCAGCTTTTAAAATCCCGCCAACGTAAATTACAACACGAAAAATAATCATTAAAACTGTGAATTTAAACTCAAAATTTTCCGGGGATAGGCACCCCAAACAGTTATGTCTCAACCTCTCCCTTCAAAAAAGTTATAAATACGTCCCTGTATATTTATATCGCTGAACCTCTTATTTTATTTGATGGGACTATAAAAACAAGTAGTTCGCTCTACAAATATTTGATTTGGATTTTTTACAACCAGTGACGCAGCTGCATTCCAAATAAATTTTTGTTTTTTTTTTTGTTAAATCTGATGACAAAAACTAAAATTAAAATCTTGTAATTTAGGACACAACAGCAATTACTGCTAAATTAAATTAATAAATAATGAGTAATTTTAAGTTGAAAACCTAATTATTGGAAATAAGTTGAATCGAGAATTGTGAGTTGGCATCAAACGTTTTTAAGCTTAAGTTTACAAAAAAAATTTATGTACCTATTTTGACACCCTGTGAAAAAAATATGGCGTCGCCCTTGTTGACTAGATATTCTACGAAAATTTGATCTGTATCTGTAACGTGCGTGGAGGGTGGGTTACCCCACGGCACTTAGGCATCATTAGGCCCATTGTGTTTGATAAACGAAATCAGTTTTTTTTTGTATGATTTTTAAAGAAATTCATTCAGTACTCATCAATAATTTGGAGTGTCATTCATAAATGTACCTATACGTGAATGTTTACAACTACAGTTGAATAATTTTGCCTATGATAAAATATTACCAAGTACGCAATTGATGTATAAAATATGTGTTGAATAAATATTAGTCAAGCATTTCGATTTTGAATTAACCTTTTAACATTATACCAGAAAAACCGAAATAAACGACTTAGATATCGGAAAAATGCATTACTCCGATATGGAACTCTCAAAAATCGATTTTTAGAACTTGTAAAACCAAAAAAAAATTGCCCGAGGCGTTTTTTAACGACTTTTGGATCAAAATTTAGACATAGCACCCAAAATCTACAGTTAACCATCACTTTAACGGGTCCCATCGGGATGGCAGTACTGGGGCCCATGCGTGCTCCGCAAGCCCCTGAACGCAGATTTTTTTTCCATTTGAGAACTCGGAAAAATTAATTATTCCGTCTTAGAACTCAAAACTCTTAATGTTAACTATAAAGTCAAAGATAATTTCTTAACATACATACAGCGCGATGTGAATAAAAATGAGTTTTAGTTACAAGTACTAACAGGACTAAAGTCACCAGTACTGAAAGGAGTGAAGATTACATTTGCTCAAGAGGCCAAATACTTGGGAGCCATCTGTGACCACAGGTTAACATGGAATCAGCACTTGCAAAAAGTCTCCCAAAAGAGCACAACATCCTTCAACTTATGTCGATGGTTGTGTGGAAAAAATGGTGGACTACAACCGAAAATGTCCCTATGGTTATATACCAGAGTCATAAGGCCGATGATAACCTACGGGTAGTTGGTATGGTGGCCAAAGACTCGGCAAGCTGAAGCCATTCGACATCTCAATGGAAAGCAAGCATGCCTAAGTACCACGGGAGCTATGAGAACGACTCCAACAGCATCTACAGAAGTCATGCTAAACCTAACATCACTACATATATTCATTCAAGGCGAAGCCAGGTCTGTCACATACAGATTGCACAAAAGTTCATCACCCATAAGTAGTTTGCATGGACGAGACTGCAGCGAGCTATATAAAGAGTTGGAGAACGACCAAATAATGTGATTGCCTTCAGACGAAATGCTCCTTGAGTATAGCTTTCAAAAGCAATATAAAGTAAGTATACCAGACAGGGAAGCGTGGACGAGAGGACCTCCTGTTCATGCAGAATTCACCTGGTATACAGACGGCTCCAAAACCCATGAAGGTTTAGGAGTAGGTATATATAGTACCAAGACAAAGACAAGAATCTCACTGAGAAAACATGAAGACAGTATTCCAGACAGAAATAGCAGCAATATCACTGCGCAAAAGAGGTATTAAGACAGAAGATAAATGGAAAAACCATTGTCATATACTCAGACAGTCATGTAGGTACACTCAAAGCTTTTGTGGGACTGTTTGGAAGCACTAACAGAGCTGGGTAGTCAAAACAGACTAACAGCCTGGGTACCAGGCCACAGAGGACATAAGGCCAATGAAGAGGCTGATTTACTAGCCCGAGAAGGAGCCTCAAATGCTCTTATTGGCCCAGAACCCTTTAGTGGTGTAACATAAACAACTATCAGAACATGCACAAAGCAGTGGATGTTTAAAAAATCTCAGGAGCGGTGGAAAAACTCACCAGGACAGAAACAGTTCAAAGAGTTTTTAAAAGGATCATCGCCTAAACTCCCCGAGCATCTAATAAGCCTTAATAGGAAAAATACTAGATTACTAATAGGTCTAGTAACAGAGCATTGTAAGCTTAACATATGTATAATATCGGTCTGACAGAAGAGACCTTGTGCCGATTCTGTAAGAAAGAGGAGGAAACGGCAGAACACGTATTGCGAAGGTCTAGCGGTGTGCAACAAAGGAAACACAAAGAATATTAATTTTGCCAATTACTTTAAAAAAAAGACAAATTCAGAAATCTATAACAATTTATTAATATGATAGAGAATTGTTTGCAATAAAATAGGTATAAAACAATACTTATTGATACATAACACAAAAGTAATTTGGATAAAAAAAATTGAATTCTGATCTGTCTAGGTGAGATAATCGCAATTAATGTTATTTTGTATAATTTTTCATGAATTATTGACTAGATTTACTACATCAAAAAAGTTACTAAAATTATCTATTAAAAAATGGACAACTAAAACTAATATGTAGTAATTTTTCTGTAATATTTTCATATATGTATGTACTTAAATATAATACATTTTAATTTCATATTTTATATAAATCTTAATTATATTAACATATTTATATATAAAGTATGTTAAATAGTAAGTATAAAGACTATTAACAATTTAGGAAACATGATAATTTTCTTTCTCATTTTTATGCATACATATTTCTGCTATTGGTTGGATCGATTATTTACAGATAATTCTTCTAAAAAATCTGGAAAAATGTCAGGTGTTTGTCATTGGCTAATGCCAGCTTCAAATTGATTTCCCGGCTCAAACTGAACAAAATAATAGGCTGGATGTCATTCCATTCCCTGTTTTAACATTTCAACAAGCCCATATCGTTCCTGTTCTTTCTCAAACTGTTCTTGCAATAGGCTTTCCAGTATATCTTGAAATCTTTGCCTGAGTGCCAAATTTTCAATATTTTCTATTTTATTTTCTTGTTGCTGTCGTTTAGCTTTCAAATCTGCTATTTCAGCATCCAATTCATTTACCCTGTTTTGTATACTCACTAAAATTTTAAAAATTATTAGTTAAATCATCATGTAAATAAATAGAATTGAATACAAACATTAATTATTAATAATAAAATTATTTTACCTTTTTGTTCAGGTGCTCTAAAATCTGAAAAAGACATAGATGATGATGACTGCTGATAATAATCTATTTCCTGCATTAGATTTGGAGAATGTTGCATATCTCTAAACATTTCGCTTGTGAATTCTGTGAGTAATTTTGATTCTGCAGAATTATTCTAAAAAAAAGTTATCACATGTTAAATTATGTCCAAATTTGTTTCAAGGTGATGAATATTTTGGTCAGTGTTAAGATTCTTTTACAAATTGGATAAGTTAACTGAAAATTAAAAATGTCAATAAGGCTAGAGGAAACAAAAAAAAAAAGAAAAACAGTTCTAATTAGCTTTTAAGTATTATAGTGGCAGATATAGACTGAAAATTACCAAAACAGAATTGGAATCTGTAAGATGGCTGTCTTCACCAGAATTTTGACTATTTTCATCCAAAACATCCAGAACATTGAGGTGTGCATCTTCATCTTCAGAATCACTAACAGCACCACCAAATATATCATGTTCAGCAACATTCTTAACAGGTTCTGTAGGATCTTTCTTAACTACTGTTCCTTTATTGACTTTATTTTCATCTTCTTCATTGATAACTTCCCATTTTACACTAACCTGTAAGCCATACAAAAGATAAATATAATAAAGCTATTCAATTTCATAAAATATATGAGATGTTGATATACTAAATTACTTACAGCATCATTGTCAACTCGTAAGAGCCTCTTAACTTCTTTTTCAATTTCTGGAGCTTCTACATATTTCTTTTTCAATGTTTTCCTAAATCGCCGTTTTCTGACATTTTTTACAGGTGGAGTAATACCATGGGGCCACAAATATTTCTTATCTACCTTATTAGGGTCCTTTTTCTTTTTCTGAGGAGAATCTTCATCAGTTGTAGTTTGATCATCTTCTTCCCTACACACTAACATTTGGCAAATATCTGCAGTCTTATAAAAACCCTTTCCATCTATAGTTTTTAGAGATTCTACTACTGTAGGTAAATCAACAACTTTCGCAGTCATTAGCCAATGATCTACTCTTACTTCTCCATGTCTCATCATATCATTATCGATTTTTATGCTTACTCTGTCTTTTAGGGAGTGATTATTTCGAACAGCTTCCCGTAAAGCTTTAGCTGGTTCCTTAAAAATAAAATATAAATTAAATATACAAATAGGTTAAATATAATAAACAGTAACTATTATTTACCACTGGCAAACGCAAGATGAACTGAGATTCCAGCTCAGCTGGCGAATCTATTTCTCCTTTAAACATTTTTACCATTTAATACATTGTAATAAATTTTTGTTGAATTAAAATTTTAATTATAACCAAATATGATACATAACCCCTTCCATAATCCACAATAATAAACTGTCATAAAATGACATTTGACATAATAAACTTCAGACTTCCGAAAAAAGGGTATGGTCCGATATTAGGCATTCCAACCACCTGCCAAAATGATGCTCATGGGTTATGATATGATAGGCTTGTTCTGGTTTCTTCAAAAATATGCTGCAAACCGTCGGATATCTAGTGGAACAGTTGAGTATTAAATTGTTCGTTGCGTTAAACTTTTAAACTTTCCGCTGGTCGGACAATTTTCAGCATATTTCTGTAGAACCAGGACAAACCTAATATGGCAACCCTGTGAGCTTGTTTTCTTTGACAGGGTCAATGCTATATAGTTATATAGATTGCTTAAAGCGGGTTGCTTTGCGAACGACTATTGCCCAATGAAATGGAGTGAGGTAGAATGCTTGTCAATAGGCTTGAGATGGGCTTGAGATGCGACTCTATGGGCACAAACAGGTTATTTTTCATCTCACTCGGAAGTATTTATAATAACCATTTTCTATTTCACATTGTTATTGTCTGATCCATCAGCTTGTGGAACAATCAGCACAACTTCAAGGATTTTGAGTTTTTTGCCAAGATCTTGAGTTTTTTCTCAAGATCTTGAAGATTTTTTTCTCAAGATTATGAGATTTTTTTTAAGATCTTGAGAGAAATGTCAAAAAAATAAAAAAAAAGCGTTGACACTTTAGCTCTTCCGTAGTTTTCAATGGGTTTCTGCTAAACTGATTCTGATTAATGGCGCTTGCCAGGCAATATGGCCGTTCATAAAACGACCAGCTGTGAGCAATCTATACAACTATATTGTACCATTGACTGTCAATGACAGCAGGCCACAGGGTTGCCATATGTAAACTGTCAGTGTTTTGACAGGTCCTTGGAATGCCTAATTTTGTGGTGGCACTACTGGGTGTTACTTAGAACCGAACTCTTCGATTGTGGACGTGCTATGGACGTGCTTTTAAAATGGTGTTGTCAACAATGAGAAGGAAGATTTTTTTATAGTGTTCATAAACTGTTAACAAATTTAGTATTTATTTTAATTTAGAATAAGTCTAATTTTAATAGATAAAATGAACGGTCTAAGTTTAAGTGAATTGTGTTGCCTGTTTTGTTGCCCACCATGCCCCAGCAAAATATCAGCCAAACTAGCCTTCTTACCACCTGAACCCACATACGAATTCGTGTCAGATGAAAATGGAAAATATACTTTTGCATTGACCGAGCGGGCGGAATGGCAATTTTCAGAAAGAGAAAAAGAAAATATAGAAGTATTTTTCACAAGTACAAACAGACGAAATCGTATAGCATGTCTTTTCGTTAGATGCAGCAATACTGCCAGATTTACCATCTTATTTTCACACGGGAATGCAGTGGATTTAGGACAAATGAGTAGTTTTTACCTTGGTTTAGGTTCACGTATTAATTGTAATATATTCAGTTATGACTATTCGGGGTATGGTGTAAGTGCAGGAAAACCCTCAGAAAAAAATTTGTACGCTGATATAGATGCCGCCTGGACGGCACTAAGGACTAGATATGGTATCAGCCCTGAAAACATTATACTTTATGGCCAAAGCATTGGCACCGTACCTACTGTTGATTTAGCTGCTAGATATGAAGTTGGAGCTGTGATATTGCATTCTCCTCTCATGTCCGGTATGAGAGTAGCCTTTCCTAATACAAAAAGGACTTGGTTTTTTGATGCCTTTCCCAGGTTAGTACTTTTATTTATATATCATAAGAAGGAAAGGTATGAAACAGAAAACCTGCTAAAGAGAAACCAATGAAAGACATTTAAATCTAGTAAGAGAGTTCACTTACATTTATTTAAAGTGGATCATCACTTATCTGGTTTTAGTTTCATACTGAGGATTCAATACCTAATTTATTGTCATTATTCTGAACCTTAGATGTATAAAAACATTACGTACATTTCTAGTTTTGCCTCTTTTTAATTATAAAAAAACTAAACATATATCTTCAGGTACTGCTATTGTAAAAAACCTATGTTTCATATTTTGTACAAATGAATAATGGCAATTGATTTTTAAAATAATTCTGCTATTTTTTCAATTAATATTAACAATTTTATGAGGAAGGGAATGAATAGGGGTGCTGGCTTGGTAAAACAATGTCAGCAGTTATAAAATATTAGATACTAGGGCAAGTAAAATTATTAGAAATGAATTGCTGTACTAAAGCAAGGACAGAAGTTAAACAAGCTTTTGGTAGGTGAAGTGGTAAATATTGAACCTCATCAGACCAGTGTTGTATAAAAGAAAAAAATACCAATAATTTTAAATTGTTACAGGCTGAATCAGGTAATTGTATATATTTATAGGCTAGAAATAATTATAATATCCCAAATTATAATTTTACAAAATTTCCACAGCTATTTACAAATTATTGTGTAAAATATTACTTGAATACGTGAAATTGTAATTAGAGTGTATAAAATAACATTCTATGCCAATGTAGCAATGTATGATGTTCATTTCAGTTAGCTCTGCAGCCAAACTGTCAAATATGTATGAAGTGGGAGAACTGCAAAAGCCTGTCTAACTTCTGTCTGCCTAAGAAAAGTAGCATCTCTGAACTTTTATTTGATCCCTCATTTATAAATTTCTGCTTTCTGAAATATATACAGTATGGTTGGAATCATATGGAAAACTTTTTATTATTAATTTTAGGAAAAAAAGTTCTGCATTATCTAAAACCTAGAATACAGTCATCAAATATATATTTTTTTATTGGTATAAGAGGTTTGTCAAAAAATATGAGTTTTACTCAAGAGTAAAGTACCTTTATTCTTTATATAACTGATAAAATTTGATATTTGATGGTTGTATTTTAGATTTTAGACCATGCTCGACTTTTTATAAAGAACAACTTTTTTTCCTAAAATTAGTAATAAAAAGCTTTCCTATGCCACCAACTGTCTACGTAAAATGGCGGCTAATGAAAATCTTTTTATTATTAATATTGGGAAAAAAGTTATTCTTTATAAAAAGTCGAGCATGGTCTAAAACCTAAAATACAACCATCAGATATCAAATTTTATCAATCATATAAAGAATAAAGGTACTTTACTCTTGAGTAAAACTCATATTTTTTGACAAACCTAGTATACCACTGAAAAAAATTGATATTTGATGACTGTATTCTAGGTTTTAGATAATGCAGAACTTTTTATGAAGAATAACTTTTTTTCCTAAAATTAATAATAAAAAGGTTTTCCATATGATTCCAACCTAGGGGGGACATATATTTTTTAAATAATATACTGTTATTATTCATTTGCACAACAAATGGAACTTGGTATGCTTATGTGATCACACTAGAAAATGTCCAAACAGGTATATTATTGACACAAATCATTTATTTAGCTAAAAACATATAACATTAAATTAAACAAAAATACATTTATCTTTGAGAAATTAAGTAGATGAGTATTTTTAAATTGGAGATTATCTATTATTTCAGCACATTGAGAGGTATAGATTATACAGTGTGTATCAGAAAAGGCAACAATTTAGAAATATGGGAGCAATTAAATTTTCCCTGAAAATACAAAAAATAAATACAACTGACTTTATTTGGGAATGTAATATACCCAAACCTTTCATCCTTTTGTATACAATTTAAAAAGTGTTGCCAGAAAATACAAAAAATCAATAATAATGAAGAAAACAGGGCTTAGAACTGGTTTCCAAACAATTGATGTTTATAATAAATTTGAAGTACACTCCTGTAAATCTCCTTTTATTTTAACAGGTTGAAGATGGTTAGTTTTATGATGTCTCTAAAAGGATTCGATCCTAATATGATTTTTTAGGATTTCTTCAGTGAATATGGATCACTAATCCTTTTTACTTTCCTATCTGTATACAGATAAGGAAAGTATAGGAATCATGATTTTTTTTCGACCTCCAGTTTTCGGCGGATTTTTACGTTTTGGGGTGACTTGTGTGTGTCTGTATCCACCCTCTCATGAACCATTATAAAGAAAAACACCAAATTTTAAACTTAAACTTTATTCCGGCGTCCAATGAACTGATTAGATTTTGGGCAGAGTCGGAACATCTGGGGGGTACTTTATAGGTGGTCATTTTTATATTTTATGGAATATATCTATTATTTATGTATGGAGAAGAAAATTCTTCAAATAAAAGTTACTTACAATATTATTATCAATATTTTTTGTTATATACAAAATTTTCCTAAAATGGTCCGTATTCGAGAAATTTGACAAAATGTAAAAAAATAATTTTTTATCAAAATTGTTCAAGTAAAAGTTGTTTGTAATATAATTCTCTATAATTTTTATCCTATACATAATTTCTCTAAAATGGACCGTATTCGAGATATTTGAGAAAATGTGTAAATTTCTAATTTTGAAGAAAACTCAAAAACGGATAAAGGAAAAAACATTAAATTTTAAACTTAAGTTTTATTTCGGCCTGACGTGAAATTATAAGATTTTGGACCAAGTCGGAACATCCGGGGGGGTACTTTATGGGAGGCCGTTTTTATATTTTATGGAATATATCTGTTATTTATGTTTGGAGAAGAAAATTGTTCAAATAAAAGTTACTTCTAATATTATTATCTATAATTTTTGTTTTATGTCAAATTTTCCTGAGGTGGTCCGTATTCGAGAAATTTGACAAAGTGTACAAAATTCTGATTTTTTAAGAAAATTGTTTAACTAAAAGTTGTTTGCGATATCGATCTCTATAATTTTGGTTTATACGTGATTTTTCTAAAATGGACCGTAATGGAAAAATTGGAGGAAAAGTGCTAAATTTAAATTTTTCTTTATTTTCGTTTTCAATGAATATAATATTTAGTTTATCCTCTATACATTTATAGAGGTGCTGTAATAGGTTGTACAAAATAACCGGAAAAAGCCTATAATAACTAGATAGAAAAGTCATGTGTTGGACACATCAGATTTTTTATTTAAGTATTCAAATACCTCTCTTGAATCCTCAAAATCCCAGAATTCAAATCCTATGAAATTCGAATCCTCCCAGCTCTGAGTACGTATTTATTATACATTTTCACAAAGAGTGGTTCACCCCTTGTTCAAACATTATACAAATTCTAGTCAGAAATCCTTCTCAACTAATATTGTATCTACTTAATTAGGAACAAATAGTCAATATGCTGTGCACTAACATATACATGATTAAAAACATAAGATCAACAGTGGTATTTATTTTGATTAATAATTAGATATATCTTAGAACTTGAATATAATCTTTCCATCTAAATAAAATCATGCATGTTGTACTTTTATTATATCAATTCGAATTAAATCTCCTAAGTAAATTTTTGTTAATCTGTATACCTACTCAATTATTCAGATGTAATTTATCTTTGTATATTTCAATTGTAAATAATTGTATCATTCGGTATTAAGCAGAACCTACACATAAAATTTCTTATAAATGATTCATTGTTTACTTATTTCAACGCTTTATTGAAGTTAGGGGAAATCTGGGCATATTTAAACAGGTAAATCTACTTTTAATGTAAGCATACAGGGTATGGTATGCTCTTATGAAAATAATTTGAGAAAATTAAAATGGTTGACTTACATTATTTTTTAGTATGGTTTTGGAAAAATTTTTTTTGTAGTCCTATCCTATAAAACCTAGGCATTTTGTTTAATTAAGACAAGAGTATAAAAATTAAAATAACACTTGGTGCTTGGAAAATTACAACTCAATATTTCTAAATGTTAAATTATCTCATATTTTTGTCTCAAAATACTTTCAGTGGCCATCTTGGAGATATTATGCTCAAAATTGGTTTAGTTTTGCTAATATTGAAACTTTTAAATTATTATATTATAAGAAGTTGGAATATTTTTCTATAATTTATGGTCTAGATAAGGGATGCGATGTATTCCATTGAAGCTGTACAACGAAAATTCCTGAAGTACATGTGCTTTAAGTCTCATGGGAATTACCCTCAAAGAAGTTTTAAAGCTTGGTCCATGGATGTTGGGCTGATTGGAACACCAAATCATTCAGTTAAATTTCTGATATTTGGGGGTAACATGCTCACCAGCGTCAGTGTTTAAACCTTGTAGTTAGAAATAAACCGACATTGAATAAATTAATAAAAAAAAATATTGTAAACTCCCTTGATATTCTTAATTTTTTGGATGTTTAATAAACACACAGAGGTCCTTGATATTTAATGTTTTATGTAAATAAAAGTATACTTACTTAGGTACATATTTATAAATACATATAGACAATTAGACATGTTTTTATGTACAACAATGAGTCAAATATTATCCCTATTTAGTAAATATTTACTGATTTAAAATAATATTTTTGTTTCCTACAAAAATACTTATGTACTTATAAATTAATATTTATTTAAAAAATGTATAAGTACTAGAATGTATATAGAAATAGAGTAAACTGTTTTTTACCTTTAATTTTTTATTATTTTTATGTTTATAGATTGGAGAGAGATAAATTTCGTGAGACTCCCTTATATGGGATATTAATACACTGAGACCTAAAAAAATCTGTTGTTTCCTTTCTGTCTTGATGTCTGTCTTTTCAAGGAAATATAGGATTTGGAGTGGCTCCACGTTAGGTTGATTATTTAACATTTTCCAAAACAAAAATGTTCATTGTAGCATTTCTAGTTTTTTTCGCTAACCCAAAGTCCTATATTGGCAGCACAAATGTGTGGTGAACACTTAAATTGATATTTTATACAGCCTCAAATAAAGGCTTGACTAGGCATCTGTGAAATTTTTATTCTAAAGTGTGTTTTAGGTTATTTGCATTAACTCATATAAATTAAAATCACTTGCTAATTAAATCTTGTCAAATCAATATGCACTCTTGAGAATCAGTCATATTCAAATTATGACTGTATTGATTAAATTTGTTTGTTAAATATATAAATATTTGTTTGTAAACCAAACAACTATAATCGCCATCTCTAGTATCAAAAACAAATACAGTCCACTACCACTAGATAATATTTAAACCACAAAAACGTAATGATGTATTTTCATTTAGCTTCTTTTGCAGTTTTATTTTAAGGTTATAATTACAAAATCGTTTATCTCTTTTTACCACTGTATTTTTCAGTTTTTTTATTGATGTGATATAGTTAACTTGTTTTATCTAAACATGTGACATCTTAATTCCTAAACAAAAAACTTCATAAATATTTGAATAAAAATATTTTTTCCAGTATTGATAAAGTTCCGAAGGTCATGTCACCTACTCTAATAATTCATGGGACTGAAGATGAGGTAATAGACTTTTCTCATGGGCTAACGATTTTCGAAAAATGCCCAAAAGCTGTAGAACCCCTGTGGGTGGAGGTACGTATTTTTTATTCAATATCCAATTTTATTTTAATATTAGAAACATATATCATTCAAAAAGTTCCGGTATTTTTTAAGAACAAGACGTCTTTATATTCATAATCAACAAACATGAAAACTTTCTCTTAGAAAAATTTGACAAGGGATTATAATTTTGACAATTTTAAATTTAATGCTAAAATAAATTTCGCTTAATAATTTTTTGCAAAAGTGGCAAACAGATTTGGATAATTGCAAACGAAACTTGTAATTTAAAACGTTTCAGTGAAGACTGCATGTAGAAATAAAATTTTATTATTTGTTTTTGGTATATGGTATCTGAAACTTGTTTTTTACTATCTGTCTGTTTTCTCAGTGAGTAAGTAATCACAACCAAATTCTTAGAATTTATAAACACGAAAATATAACAATTAAAAATAAGTAGAGATAAGGTAATTATTATTTTATCTATTTAAAAATATTAATTTGAACTTAAACTAAATTAAAGAAGATCCCCAGCACATCGAATTGGACCAACATACCAATTTGTATAGATAAATGTACAATTATGTTGATACCTGGAATATCAAGATATAATAGAAGTTTTCATTATCAGTCAAAATTTAAAAATTATTAATTCTGAATCAGTTAAGGGTTTTAAAGCTAAAGTGTAGATTCATAGATACAGTTGTCATTTATTATAAATACACACAGTCTATTTTCAGCATGTCAAATTCCATTAACATAAAAGTTGTGGCAGTAGACTGTTTAATTTGAATCGAACATATTTTCCAATGGTTCTTTTTTAGGGTGCAGGCCACAACGATGTGGAGCTGTATTCAGTATATCTAGAGAGGCTCAAGCAATTCGTTCGATCAGAACTAGATAATGATAACTGACAGTTGCATCCAGGAGAAGATGTAACTTTTAGTTCAGGTACATCTAGTTCGGTAGCTGAAAAACTACTTTAGCTAGTGGAAGCAGGATCGACAACCATTTCTCCTGAGTCGATATCCTGCACAAAAACTTTTGTTCCATTAACTCCTACAAAATGTTGCAGTGTGCCAACTGAAGCGCTGTCTCAGTGCCACTGTATGTTACTTGAGACCATTTGCTAGCCACTTTGGGTATTGGACAATTTATCTAATACTATTTATCAGGCCTATTCATAGTCCATATATAGTCAATTTAAAGGATTAATAAGTTAATTACTTGAGGTTTGATGGTATGTGACTGCTAATAAAAACTGACCCGACATGTAACATATAAAATAAAGGTTTACATTTCTGTTTTCACTTTAGACGTTTTGTCAAAATCGTCCTTTTTTAAATTGGATCAACTATAATCTCTAGAAAAATATATCCTTCAAGGATTACTGCAGTAATAACGAATTCAGTTGGTTGCAAGAAAGTTAATTAAATATTGATGCTGTGTTAAATTCTGTTGAATCTTGAGAATGTGATCTTTGACTGATATGGACTCCAAATTATCCACAGTCTAAATAACTGTCAAACAACAGAGCATTAATATTTAACAAAATGTGCTACATGCAATTGTTGTGCTTCTTTTATTCAATATTTCAATTGATTGCTTTTATCTCCATTCTGACACGCCCATCTCTTTTAAGAAATGACATTCTACCTCTTATGACCACTTTTATTAGTAATTCTATCGTGTGTGGACATTTATGAGTAAATTACTTTCAGTCATCTATACTGATTGATCTAAATGGAATAAGTCAATACTTCCTATTAGTGTCGCTCATAATATAAATTACAAAAATACCTTTTTTAGTGGGAAAATAAGTATAAGTCGACTTAACATTCATACTCCTTTGCCTACCCACACTTTTCATTTAATTGTGTGCTGTCTAACAATATTTTACGTTCCTATAACTCTGGTTTAAAGTCCATGCATACCCGTCGGTAGATCAGGCGACTGTCTTGGAATTATAATAAATTTGCTATTTAAGTGGTTTCTCAAAAGAATAAAGTACATTTGAGGTGGCTAAAGCCAAAATTAGTGAAAGACCAATAAAAATTCTACAAACGAAAGTGTCCTTGCGTTTTAACTTAAAAGTTATTTAAGGAATATATGCGTTCCATTAGTTAATTCTGTTATTTACGACACGTGACATAGCTAAAGTTAAGTCTAAGTAAGTTTTATCAGCTTTACAAATCCTTATGCCGTCCTTGAAAAGCAAGAATGGATTCGCCCTAAAAAGCTTCCATACACTTTGTAAGAAGCAAAAAAAGTATCCTCTTCTTGTCAAACTTAATTTTGACTTCAAAGTGATCTAGTGGTGGGACAATTCAAGTGTGTTGAAAACCAAGTAGCAAATATTTGAGGTCTCCAAAGCTTGCTTTAGTCTCGAACTCTTGAATTTAAAAACCATTCTTGTGTTTAATAACTGATCACAGAAGATTCTCGAATGCTCATTCAATATAGTCAGTTACTCAGAATTCATCAATCATGTTTATACTGGTTTATACGAATATACGAACACGAGCCTCCCTTCCATGGATCTAGACTTTGTTGAATGCAAAAGATTCGATTTTGTCGCATCACTAGTCTGAGCGTACCTTATCAGATGCCTAATCTGTAAAGACACGAAATTGGGTATTCCAAACAAAATGGTTGCCTGCTGGCATTGATATAGCAACCCTGTGGGCCTGGTGGATTTGACAGGGTCTTTGGTATAGATAGTTTTTCAAAATAAACATAAAGTTGAAATAAAAATGTAGATAATTATTTTTTACTATATTCAGTGGCAGAAAATTGTTTTTAAACACTTTTTTGCTAAACCAATTCTGATTAATGAGCACTTACGACTCACTTTGAGCAATCTATATAATTATTTATATCAAAGTCTACAGGCAGCAATTTTGACAAGTCGTTAGAATGCCTAATTTTATGAAAACGGCCGTTCTTAGCGACTTTTATGACAACTGAAGTACCAGTTCTGTCAAATAGGTCAGTGACTGTTTTAGGGTTTACTACTGGAGTGCGTTGCATGGCGTGTCTGGACCCTATTCTAATGTATGTGGTCAGACGCACCGTGCGAGGTTTCTAAACGTAGTCGTTTAGTTAATAATGTTTTTTTGGTTGTCCTTTTTTTGAAAAATGCATTTTGACAAATCGTTGAATAGTAATTAGATAAATTGTTCAGAACTCTTAATTTGCATTTTTTTACTGTAAATATTGTTAATTGTGGACTTATTATCAAATGTGAATATCTGAAGACAATCTTTCGAGTGATGCAATATTTAGGGGATTCTAGAATACATGAAAACTTAAGTTTTCTTTTATCTTACCTCTTATAGTTTTTAATTTAATTTTAATTTATTTATTTATTCATTATTCTTCTAAGAGATATACGAAAGTGTGTCTCTCTTTGTGGGTTTCATATTACTTAAGAATTTCGTTACTTTTATTACATGTAGAACTTAAAATGTTTTTGTATTTTTTTTTTTTTTAATTGTTTGAAATTATATTTCTTTACTTAATATTTATATGTATAATGTAATCTTATTGTACTTTATTACAAAAACCTTCAAATATAGAAATATGAAATCTCAGTGCAATTACCTATAAAAAATACTAATCTAAATATTCATTATTCACCATTACAATACACTAAAATAAAAGTTAATAGTTTGTACTTAACTTTATATTACTTAGTATTATTAAAAGTTAAGATATTAAAATTTAAAATAACTTAAGTTGCCTGTGATAAAGTATCTTATTAGTCAGTTTGAAATAAAATCAAAATCAATTTTGACAAATAAACGTTAAGCAAAATAAATACTTTTTCTATCATGCACCCAAAAATATTTTTAATAATTTTTATTTTATCAACATTTTTTTAACATAAAAATACTGTGATCTTGTTCTTAAAGCCTCATATATTGAGTGAGTAAGAGTATGAGAAATGTAATTTTTAAATTTTGAGTATTTTTAAAAATTATATGCCTAACTAATTCAATGATTTGAGATTATTACATTACATCGTAATATGTTAAAAATGATTATTAAATGTTAAGCACAATGTTTAAAATTTGATTATTTGAAACATTTGTTTGTATACATTTGATTTCCATTTTTTATAGTCCAGTTAAATGTGAAAAAATATGTGTTCAATTTTCTGGGCAATAAAACTTAATAACTGTTATTAGATAGTTTTTATTTAAATTGTGCAATTTTTTATATGAGCGTGATAAATTTAATTAGTTTTATAGAAAAAATAAGTTTTCATGTAAATTAATGGACTCAACACATGTCGTTCACATTTATCTGTGTGAATTTTAAAAAGTATATTTTGTTGGGTCATGGAACCCTATCTCGATATTTATACAGTATGTTCCAAAGTTTATCTGTTTTTCTGATGCAGTTTTAAATTCGGTGTAGGTAAGTTTCTGAATTTGAACATTTGCAATAGGTTAAATTTTGAACAATCTGATTTTTTTTTCTTTATGTATGAGTCCCATATTAATCAGTTGTAAAGGTACTTAAGTAAGTTATAACTTCCTCATAAAAAAAATTATTTTCATTTCAATGTTTTTAAAAATAATAAAGTTTAATTTTCTCCTACTCGTTTAGAGGAAACTTTAAAAAATAACTTACTTAATATGAAATACCAGATAACTTTTCTGAGTGTACGAAGTAAATATTATGTTTTAAAACAACAAACTAATAAAATTCTAAATAGATTTAAGACAACTACTTATCGTATCATGCATTTAGCTCATTATTTTTAATTTAATATAAATTTTGTACAAATGTATTAAATATTTGTTTTGATAAAATTGTATTTAGTTTGAATTTGTGCAAGTGCAAATAAATTGTACCAACAGGTAAGACTAATGAAAAAAGTATTACGCCGTTAAAGTTTTGTATTATGTTCGAAAAATATCCAAAAAAAAAAGAAAATATGAATATCAACCCTTAACGGATATAGTGATTTTTGAGTTATATAATTCACATTGTTTTGCGTCAGTGGCGCTCCAATCTTACTACAGATGTCCAAAAGTAGTAAATACATTCATAGCAAAACTTTTATGGGTACTGAATCTGGACTGTAAGGTGACAGCTCAATAAATCAACAATTTTGACAGGGGCGTGCGGTCCATGGAAGCGGGGAAAGTACCGCTTCCCTACACTTTGAGATTTAAAAATAAATATTTTTCAGTTTACAATGCATAGAAATTAATATTAAATTAGGTACTATATTTTCTCTGAAACATTATAAACTTCGTAAATGTACTAACAATTCATTGGTGTAATGAGAAAATTAATTGTGTAAACGCACACACCATATATACTTCGAGTCCGTCGGCGGAAGCGCGTCTTGAAAAAGCCGGCTCATATTCCAATTGATTTCGCTTCGTGTTATTGACTCTGCTTTGCCGCGAATTTGCTCCGACGCGATGGAACTACAATGGACGTTTATTGCAAACAGTGTTTCAATACCGTGATTCTTTGATCCATTTTTTTCAAGACGTTTGGGATAATAAACAAATCTGAAACTGTTACTGCCGCTAAAGGGTATTTGCATTGGCTTAAACAAAACTTTGATTTCAATTCTTTGCTCAACATTTTTGCACAGATTTTCCCTTTTACTGACATTTTACAGACAAAGTCAAATGACGTTGGCTTTTGCATTAAACAAATTGATGATTTTAAAATAAAATGAATAAAAAACGAGATCAGTTTGAACACTTTTGGAATAAGACTCAAAACATTGGCTTAGAACCTGAAAGAAAGGGAATTGGAATTGATAATGTCGGCGACAGAGAGACCTCCTATCGTCGATTATACGCCGAAATTTTTGATAAAATTTTACAACAAATGAACTCTTGATTTCAAAACTTTAACGAATTAAAATTTGTTGAATTGTGCAATTTTAATATTAGTAACTACGATTCATCAAAATTTCCATCGGAAGCTTTTAATTCACTAAAATTAAAGTATGGAAATTTTTTCGATATTCCAGCATTAAAGTCCCAGTTAAGTGTTGTTTATGAAACAACTAAAATTAGTCACAAAAAGACCCCCATCAATGTGTTAAATTTTCTTATAACAACTGGTTTAAATAAGTCTCTTTGTGAAGTCGTCAAGTTGTGTGAATTAGTACTAACCATCCCAGCCACAAGTGCGTCAGTTGAGCGAAGTTTTTCAGCTTTAAAGCGCATCAAAAGTTTTATACGAAATTCAAAAAGTGAAGACAGACTCTAATTTAGCCCTAATATCCACTGAAAAACAGTTTGTAGAACAGTTATCAGAAAATCCAAAATTTTACGAAGATGTTATAGACAAATTTGCAGCCATTGAGGATAGGCGAATAGATCTTAAGTATAAATAAATGTTAACTGTGCGAAAAATGCTCGAAAAAATAAAAAAAAACTTCAGTTAAATGTTTTTTTTTACGTTTTTTATAGCTTTTAGTACTAAACTAGGAAGTAAAATAATAGTAACATTTCAAAAATCTCAAACTCGAATATCCATAGTACTGACGAAAAAAAGTAAGATTTTGACAAAATGGTGAATGCGCCGCGAAAATTTTTCGCTATGCTTACTGGCCTGCTGTATTTTTATGCAATCGCTTCCCCTTCCAAAAATGTCACCGCACGCCACTGAATTTTGAATAATGCATTGAGTTGTGAGTCTTACACATCTTAAACCCTAAAGAAAATCTCCAGTAAGATTGTTTTTCAATTAAAAAAAAAAAAAAACAGCGTAACATTAAATTGGCAAGATATGGTTTTAGTGAGGATAATACATTTTGTGGGTATAATTAGAAGCATAATGTCCATCAAAACGATAACTAGGTAACAACTGAGAAAAGTAAAATGGGGTAACTTAGATCAAAATGAGTGGTTTTTCAGAGAAAATTACTGTCCCAGACAAAAATTCTACATTGAAGTTTGTCATAGTAGCGAGACATTTAATATAAATATAAAAATATTTTTCTATAATTCCTGCTTAGATCTGAATGGTTTAAATGAAACAATTTTGGATATTTTAGAACTCGAACAAAATACTATGGAAATTAGAAGTTTATATTTTATATCAAGTAGTGATATTTCTTGTAAACTTCTCGTAAATTTATGTTTCTATTTTCCAATACTTTATTGTAAAAATCTTAATATGACGAAATTAACTCGTATATAAGCAAATTACAAAAGTCAACACAATTATTTTTTGATTATAGCTGCAAATATTTATCATGTATTAATAGGCAACTCTACTAGTTTATAGTTCTGTATATTTGTTTATATTAAAAATTCAAAATCTAGCATGAAATATCTATCGTTTTTATTTAATTTTTTTTTCTGTAAATAGCTTGAAAATTACTTTTACACCAAACACATTAAGACATTATTATATTTATAACCCACAGGATGTTCAAGTTTTTTTAAAAAATTATCTTTCAAATAATAGAAGAAATATTTTTGAAACACAAGGAATATGCTGTAAATATTAGTTACCAGAAGAATTCTTTTTCAATCATACGAAATAAAAATATTTTCGGATAAGTAATATTAATGTCTTGCAATGTTCTGTCTATATTTAAAAATATGTTTCATGCTATTGTCAGAACCCAGCTGTTGCTGTTAATCACTGTTATTACTGATCGTGTGAAAGAGGGTGATATAAAGGGCATCATCAGTTACTTACAATGAATGCTAAATAGCATACATTTGTTTACCAGTTACACGTTCTTTGGATTTTCTAGAATTAAAAATTATTCGATAATGTAAAAGCAAATTTATGTAATTGTGAGTGTAATATATATTGGGACTTTTTAATTTTATAAACTTCGAATATAAGGAGGATTTCGACCAGATCGACAAAATGAAGACCTTAACTTCAAAAGAGCCTAAAAGTAATGAGTAAAATAAAAATTTTATACATATACATTCGCCATGCTTATTTTAATGATCTACTTTTAAGAGTTTGAATTTATAAAAAACCCACAACTAATAAGTAGTCGTAAATAGAGCTAAGCATATCAGGATGTTAATTATCCCTGTAATGGAAGAACAACTACAATTTATTTTCATTCCAGTTAGCGGAATTCGATTTTTGATTTTTCTTTTCGAAACCAAAATCTTGTTTGTTTTTGCAAACAAAACAGTCGAAAGTGTGTCCGTTTGGTGTGAATCCACCTTAAGAGTTCTTTAAATCCATCTTGTTTATGTATTGTATAATTTTTATATCAAACAATCTAATAATACAGAAGCATCAGGTTATGGTACAATATTTATAGTGTACATAAATCTGCTGTTTCTCACAAATTAATACTTATAGACATTTTGTCATATTAAGACTAGATTACTACACTTTCAATAAATGTATTGTTTAGCAGAAATTAAATTGATTGAATCAAAACAAGATATTAAATATCTTGAAATCTATGGCAATCAAGTAATTTTTTGATGTAAAGAAACGAAGGCATAAAGTTAAAATGATCAAAATATTTTATTGCGAAGAAACAAAACAATAGTGGCATAGCATACTCAAAATAGAATTAATATGAAACATTTTTGAATACCGATTCTGCTACAATACTGCCTTGAATGAATTTTTATTGTGTAGTTATCTGAATGAAATAAAAAATTATATTTTATGTAAACATATCACTGTGAAAATGGCTTCTAAGATGAAACATTCAGGTTGCATAAAACAGTAAGAGCATAATTTTTGTTGACTTAGAAGTAATTTTGAAATAGTGCTTGGCAAAACCGATTTGTAAAATTTTGACCTGAAATTTGGATTTCTGTTGCTACTTTTATTTTACTTAAATAATATAGGATATAATAATTTGCTCTTAACACTGATATACCTGATAAATCGTGCAAATATATTTTTGTTCTTCTGAAAATATTCAGGACAATAATGTAACTGAAAATATTTGTTTTACCTTTTCAAAGATACCTAGTTGGTACTTTACTAAACCCATGTTATATGCCCTCAGATAAAGGTTTTTCCAGTTTTATAAAAAAATGTATTAATAAAAACGAAGATTTATAATGTATTTCATTATTCCTTTCTTGTAGTTGTTTCGACATTTGTATATTTTGGGAAATAATGTAATAGGGTACAATCTTTCCTATTTTAGGTAATTTTTGGAATGTTTAAAAATTGGGTTTGTTTGGGGTTTCTTTAAAATTCGTTGCAAACCGTTCGAAAACCAGTGGAACAGTTGAATTTCAAATTATTTATCATGTTCAACTATTAAACTGTCCTCTGGCCAACTAGAACCTGAGCAGACCTATTAACTAGTCTTCTTGAAAACATATATAACATCTCAAAATATATATTTTGTTGTAATTTCATATTTGAAAAATAATGTGAAGTCACTGTAACTGGCAACACAGCAAATACGTTCGTTGGGTGGATTACCTTCTCCAAATGTTCTATATTACGTTAAAAACTGAAATGCAATGCTACAAAAAAAAAATAGCAGTAACGTAAACTGTATTTTAAGTTTTAAATATAAAAGAATAATGAAAAGTCCATAATTTGTTTTACTTTTAAAGTATAATATTTAAAACCTAAAACGCAAAATAGTCTTATTTTTGCCAAATGACTTCGTTAACATTTAAAAAGGTACAAGAGTTAAAAAAAGGTCCTCTACATGAATTACTTCTCTGTTTTTGTATTTTTATCATTAGAAGCTTTTAAAAAAAAAGCTCTTCAACTCATCATAAATGTTGTAATCGTGTTCAGCGTCCAGCATTAGGTCAAAATAAATATGGTCACATTAGCACTAAGTTCCTTAATTGTGAAGGGAAGAGTTTCAAGTAAATTAATTGTTCTACGGTGTTTTCCGTTTCGGCAATTATTTTTTACCATATTTAAATGCTGAAAATTGGTTTTAAAACACATTTTTGCTAAACCGATCCTGGTTAATGATCACTTACGAGGCAATATGGCCTCGTAAAGCGGCCCACTTTGAGCAATCTATATAACTATATCATTGACTATGTGAAAGCACACAGTGTTGCCATATCATGCCTATAAATCACACGACTCAAATAGCAGAATGGGTGCTTTTAAATGACATTTAAGCATGTTAAACTGTCACTAATCGGACTAAACCGAACGCTAAAAGGTTCGTTTGGAGTAAAAAGTGTTAAAGGAACTTGGCAAACCGAACGCAATCATTGCGTTCGGCCTTATAGGACCGATTCCACCGTTGTGTTAAAAAAAGTTTAAAATTTTTACATTAACAATGTCATTTTAATCTCCGTTTAACACAACGGTGGAATCGGCTCTAATTACGTAGATAATTATTTTGTTTTACTATATTCAAGGGCTGAAAATTGGGTTTAAAACACATTTTTGCTAAACCAAGTCTGATAAATGAGCACTTGCGAGGCAATATGGCCACTCGTAAAACGATCCTCTGAGCAATCTATATAACTATATGTATCATTGACCCTGTCAAAGATAAAAGGCCAACAAGTGCTGCGTTTGAGAATCCACATCGGATGCATCTGAGATGTAAAAAATCTTTGATCACGTGATTCTGTATACGTAAATGTAATGGGACAGATGTGTCCGATGTGGATAAAAAAACGCTCGAGATGTAAAAAATGCATCCGATGTGGATTCTCAAACGCAGCATAAGTTGCCGTATCATAACCTGTCATTTTGGGCAGCATTTTGACAGTTCGTTCTTTTTTATTTGAACTTTGCCGTATTCGGTCAGCATTAACATATTAAAATTTAATTTTCATATGCATTCAGAATGAAATTGTAGTTTGCAGTTTTTTGAAAAGGCCGTAGTCTGTCACATTATAATAATAAACAGACGACATATGCTGCATTTGAGAATCCACATCGGATGCATTTTTTACATCTCGAGCGTTTTTTTATTCACATCGGACACATCTGTCCCATTACATTTACGTATACTGAATCACGTGATCAAAGATTTTTTACATCTCGGATGCATCCGATGTGGATTCTCAAACGCAGCAATAATAGGTCAACGGTATGATTTAAAAAGAAAGAAGAAGATTATAGGTGTAGGTAGGTCTGTTGCTTACTTCACAAATGTATTGTTATTAAATGTCAAAGCAGTCACCCATTTACTAAAATCAAATAATAGTATACATTCAAGAAATAATTAGGTTCTATTCTGTGTCATTAACATTTATTAGCAAGAATGGAAACTCTGTGTGATGTACCAACAAGAAGAAAATAAATTGATGTCTTAGGAATCGTAAATATTTAAAGTCCGGACAATTGACAGTGCCAGCTCATCTGTGTTTTAAAATAATTTCTTATTTATTTAATGAAAAGAAGTGAATATAATGGCGTATGAGGGGGTTGCACATAATGTAGAACTTTCCCCCGCCTTCATTGAAAGTCTTCAAAGCGATTTCAAAAGTCTTTCATCGGAATCAAAAAAGAAATATCCACAGGTAAAAGAGGTAAAAGTATTGTCTATTAGTTTTAGGGATACATTGTAATTAGTTTAACATTGTAGGCATGTGAAGAAGCTATCAATAAACTAAAAGGTGCACAATCTTCATCTCAAACCTCAATTTATTATGTTGTCAACCAAATAATTTACCCCTTATCACAAGGTTGTGAAACTAAAGATGTTAAACTTATAAGGGTAAAACATTCAAAAATAATATTCGTTACAACATAATTTTTCTGTTTTTGATCCGTAGATATGTTTGCAAATAATGCAAAAACTAATTACCCACCAACTGGTGGATCAAAAAGGTGCTTTATACATAACAGATACATTATGGGCCCTCATGGAGCTTGGAATAGAAGAAGTAAAGATTTTACAGACAGTTACATTACTCCTTACTACAAATACTGTTGTTCATGGAGAAACCTTAGCAAGAGTAAGTAAAATATATTTAAAAACCATAATTGTTATATGTTTGGTATTATTTTCTTTCTAGACATTGGTGTTATGTTTTCGGCTACATTTTGCAAAAAATTCAACCACTATCAATACAGCAGGAGCTACTGTAAGGCAGTTGGTGTATCTTGTATTTGAAAGGGTTATTTCTGAAGATGAACAAATATCAAAAGCTGAAAATGTACCTCAACGGGGCCCTGTGAATTTTGAAGACCTAAAAGCACCCAGTGGGAATCCTCCTAAAGGTATTATAAAATATTTTGTTCTATTTGGTAAAAAAATACATAATTTTTGTAGGACTACCTCCTTGTGCTGGTGATGCATTTTTACTTTTTCAAGACTTAGTGCAATTGGTAAATGCAGATCAACCATTTTGGTTAATAGGGATGACAGAAATGACCAGAACATTTGGTTTAGAATTGTTGGAATCTGTATTAACACAGTTCTCATCAGTTTTTTATCAAGTATGATTACTTATATTTTTAATATCATTTGTACTGAAAAACTAAATTAATTTGTTTTAGAATGGCGAATTTAGTTTTCTATTAAAAGAAAGAGTCTGTGCTCTAGTTATAAAGTTGTTTTCACCTAATATCAAGTACAGGAGCAACGTACCAAGCAGCATCCAGCAAGCTACACCTTTTGAAAAGCCATACTTTCCTATAAGCATGAGATTATTAAGAGTGGTCTCCATTCTTATTCAAAAATATCACAGTTTACTGGCAAGTAATTTTATTTATTTATTTATGAATCCATTTTTAACTTTTTTTTTATTTTGAATCTACATATTGTAATTTTTAATTAGCTATAAGGTAGATAATAGTATCTAATCAAACTTTTAGTTGGCAATTAAGTAGAAGCCTTGGTTCATCAATTCCTAGACAATGTCTGGTCATCAGTGATGTAGTAATTCAAATCATAGTCTGAATAACTTGATTACAATTTCCTTTTAACTTAGCTAGTGTAGAAGAATGGTACCAGAATTAAATCAATGTTTTAATCTTATATTTTAATAAATCAGCAATAATTATAATAAACATTATAATAAGAGAAAATAATAAATTAAATATATGTATACATAATACATACTTAACTTGGGACCATATGGATATTAGTGGTCATTATAGAATAGAATTTTAATAGTCATGAGTAGTATACATAGAAAACAAAAACAATTTTGCTGTGTATAAATACCAACAGACTAGTAAATTTAAAATTAAATAATTATTAATACAATTAGCATTTTTGTTTGCTACATTTTTTATTGATTTATTTTTAATTTATCCCCGATTTTAATTTTCCAGCTTTATTTCATGATATTTTGGATTCAATGACTCTTTTTCTCTTTTAGATACTTTTGATAAAATATGAATTGGTAACAGAAAAATGTAATATTTGGATAATAAGCAAACAAGTCCATAGTGCCAAGTCAAGAAAATTAACTATTGTGAATTTTTTTTTTTTTTTGATCTTACACTTTAAATCATAATTTGTCATTATTATTACATCACTCAGCGAATGATATGGTTAATATTTTTTATGATATTCTCTATTTTTTTATCTATGCTATAATTGTACAGAAAAAAGCATCCAAAAGAAAATTTCCATTATGGTTCTCCTCAGAGTTAAAGCAGCTGACAATATTGAAAAACAAGCTCACAAAAAATTTAAAAGTTCAGGATTACAAAGCGATTATGTTAACTATAGTAAATTACGTTCTGATTGTAAAACTTTATCAAAAAGGTGCTATCAACAGTTTATTGTAAATTCTGAGTCTTCTTTAACAGACCATAGAAACATAAAAAAGTTTTGTAATTTTGTTAAAAGTAAGCGAAACGTGAATGATTTACCACCATTGCTATTCTTTAATGATAGTCAATGTCATTTGGGACCAGATTTACCTGATCTATTTGCAGAATACTTCCAGTCAGTATATACTGATAAGAATATTGATCCTCAAAGTAAACCATCACTTAATCACATTTCTATATCTGAGTATGTTATTTCTATATCAACCATTTATGAAGAGATGGCTAGTATTTTTACCAAGGGACCAGGACCTGATGGTATCCACCCTTCTGTTCTCAGATTTTGTAGTTTTGTTCTCTCATGGTCACTTCACATTAAATTTAATAAGTCTCTTGCTTCGGGCATATTCCCAGATTTCTGGAAAGTGCACTTATTACAAGTCTGGTAACAGAGCAGATATATCCAACTATAGGCCCATCTGTAATCTTAGTTCCATTCCAAAGTTGTTTGAAAAGATAATAGCTGATTACTTAAGATCTAAATTAAGTTTATCAATAATAGAACAATTTGGGTTTCTTAACAAAAAATCTACAGAACTGAATATGCTTTTGTTGACTATCTGTCGGGCGTCTTGGATGGAGGTAGTGAGGTGCATGGTATACAGACTTTTTTTAAGGCGTTCGACAGGGTCAATCACAAACTTTTGTTAAATGAACTGGAGACTGCTGGGATCATGGGAACATTATTGCATTGGCTGGCAAGTTAGTTTTCTGAAAGATTTCAAACTGTTAAATTGAATAATTACAGATCTAAAAACATTTCCAATCCACCCGGAGTCCCCCAAGGGTCCCACTTGGGACCTTTGTTATCTTTATTATTTATAAATGATATCTCCGAATGTTTCAAGTTTGCCAAATATTTATGCTTTGCTGATGATCTAAAGTGCTACCTCTAGCAGTTTCATCTCTTGAGGATTGTCTCAAACTTCAGTCTGATCTGCCTAGGCTTGATGAGTGGTGTGTGAATAATGCTATGGACCTAAACATCAATAAGTGTCACTTGATAGCCTTCACTAGGAAGATCAACAGGATTGATTATCAATGTAATATTAAGGGTACACCAGTGTCCCAAGTTGCATCCATTAGAGATTTGGGTGTTATTATGGACTCCACGCTCTCATAATTGTCAATCACATTGACACTATAGTACCCAGAGCACTTGATATGCTTGGGTTTATAAAGAGAAACACATGAGACTTTATAAGTATTAATGCTATAAGGTTATTGTACTGTAGTTTTGTTAGACCTCTGCTAGAATATTGCTCTTCAGTCTGGAACCCCCAGTATACTTGTCACATCCATAGATTAGAACAGGTTCAGAGAAAATTTCTTCGCTACTTAGCATTTAAATCTATTCCTATGATTTTGCGGCACTGCAAGAGACATTCTCCTTACCAACTTTGAGAATAAGAAGCCCTAACTAGAAGCACAAGATCAATAAACAGTTTTCATCAGCCCTACATGAGAACTAATACTGGCCTCAATTCATTCATGTCTAGAGTTTCACGAAGCGCTAATGCTTGTGCTGATAATCTAGAATTTTTTAATTCAAGCTTTTCTAATTTTGTGAGGGTGTTAAAACTTACTGTGACTTAAATTCCCTAGTCTGAATATTAGTTGTTTCGATTTTGTACATGTTAATATTTTTATGATTTTTGTTGTTAGTTTATCATTATTATGTCATATTATTTAGATTGACCCTATTTGAGGTTTTTTGTTTTTATTTGTTGTAACTTTGTACTGAAAGTGGGCAAGGCCCGTCAATAAATAAATAAATAAAAAAAAAATATTTCTTGCTTGCAGGTGACAGAATGTGAAATATTTTTGTCCTTAATTGTGAAATTTTTGGATCCCGATAAACCTACCTGGCAGCGTTCTTTGGCTTTGGAAGTTTTACATAAAATGACAATACAACCAGATTTACTAAATTCATTTTGTGAATGCTACGATTTAAACAAGCATACAACTAGTATTTTTCAAGATATCGTCAACTCTTTGGGAGCTTATGTCCAGTCCCTTTTCGTCAGTCCACAGTTACAAATGGGTGCTGGAAGTAAATATACTTTTTATCAATGTTATTATTTATAAAAATATGTTTAAATATTAATTTGTTTTGCTTTTTAGTTCCTTTGACACAAGGACAACCTCCTGTATATCTTGGAGGTTTACCTGCAGGTCCTGGTGTATCTTCCCAGCCTGGTTTTTTGTTAAGAGGAGTTTGGTTACCTATTGTAGCAAGTTTTCCTACTGGCCAAGCTAAATCAACTTAGTAAGTTTTTATTATTTCCCTCTAAATAGAATTTATTTTTATATGTTAAGTTTTTTGTCTGTATTTTAACTATTTAAATAATTTTGATGGGAATAAAATAAAGTTTAAAATTAAATTGAATAAAGCACATTTGTTATATATATTTTTTATATAAGTAGTTTTTTGTCCAATCCAATTTTTGAAGATTACATATTATTTATTTAAAAGACATTTAAGGCATTTTTTATTTTTAAAATATAAATTTTTCCAATTGCTTAAATCATTTGACTATTTATTTCGGTATTATAGTTTAGAAATGCTGGATAAGATCGAACCGCCATTAGTGCCAGATGGATATGGTATATCTGTTGCTTATGCATGTCTTATGGAAATAATCCGCTCCCTGCAAATACTAATAAACCCTCAACAACAACCTGAAGAACCTGTAACAAGAAAAGAAAACAACAAAGATTTGAACTGTCAACTTATAAACTCTAGTTGGTGTGGGCTACTTGCAGCCTTGAGTCCTCTTGTGGATGCTAGCACAGAAGAGTCTGTTACCGAAAATGTATTAAAGGCTATTCAGACTTACACTTCGTTGTGTGGGATGCTTGATCTGCACACTCCTAGGGATGCTTTTATTACTGCAATTTGTAAATCTTCGTTGCCACCACACTACGCCCTCACTGTTCTTAATACAGTTACATCAGGAGTTAACCTAAGGCAAGGTTGGTGTCTTTTATTGATTTTTGTAACCATTCGCTACTATTCTATTTATTTATAGTTTTAATTTATTATCTGTTACCGTTTCGGATGTACATATCTGTATGAAATGATTTTTTTTACAGTTCATAGAGACAGTCAAGATTTAAATATGCCAATGGTAGTTCAATATGGCGAAACAGTATACGTTCAACAAGTCGTAGCTGTCGGTACACCTCTTCCCACATCATCTATCCCAGCAGGAACTCAACAAGGTCCAGTTATGTTAACAGCTAAAAACTTACAATCAATGCGAGCCTTACTAAGCCTTGCCCATTGTCATGGAGGCATTTTAGGGACATCGTGGCATCTCGTTTTAACCACCTTGCAGCATTTGGTGTGGATTTTAGGGCTGAAACCATCAACCGGTGGTAGTTTGAAAGCTGTACGACCCACCACAGATGCAAATGCTGTTATCACGAGTTCAGTAATGGACAACTTACCTGTATTATCGACAATGTTGAGTAAACTATTCGAATCTAGTCAATATTTAGACGACGTGGCTTTACACCACTTGATAAGCGCGCTATGTAAATTATCCCAAGAGGCCATGGAATTGGCTTATTCTAACAGAGAACCCAGTCTTTTCGCTGTCGCGAAACTTCTAGAAACAGGCTTGGTTAATATGTCGAGAGTTGAAGTACTGTGGCGTCCTCTAACTAATCATTTACTTGAAGTTTGTCACCATCCCCATATTAGAATGCGGGGTTGGGGAGTTGAGGCTATAACATATTTGGTCAAAGCTGCTCTTCATTATAACCACGCCATACCTCTTAGGGAAAATCAGAAGATGCAGACGTTGCTTTTGGGCCCTCTTTATGAATTATCATCTGTACCTCACGGTGATGTAAGACAGAAACAATTGGAATGCGTTTTGCAGATTTTGCATACAAATGGAGAAACTTTGTCACATGGTTGGCCTTTAGTATTGGGAATAATTGGTGCTGTTAATGATCAGCATGGGTATGTAAAACGTATTGATATAAATAATTTAAAAAATTGAAGACCTAAGTGGATTAAGGTGTTAAGTCGCAAAAACACAGTTTAGAGTAAACTGTAATGAACTGTTTTCATCTGATGAAATGTAAGACACATAACAAACATTATTTTATAAAAAAAATGATGTACGTAACACCTTTATCCACCAAATTACAAACTAAATTTTAAGTATTATATTTTTCTGTATTCTTTTTTTTTTGTTCTTTGTCAATAAAAGCTTTTATTATTATTAATATTAAATATATGATAAAGCTGGTACTGAATAGATTTCAAAGGTAATTTTAATATTGAAAATTCGGAAACAACTCTAAAAATTCCCCCTACGAATTATTAAGACCACATCCGAACCTCAAAGGTGAAAACAAATACTTTGAGATTTGAAAATAGCCTTTCATCTCCAGGATTCGAACCCAGACATCTGTGTTCTCTGGACAAATGACCTTACTTCTAGATCATAAATGACATTAACTGTCGAGATTCCTAGACATAAATTTGATGTACTAGTTCGGGCCAGACGACATTCAAACTCTTTCTCACATCTATACAGCATCGGCATATATGAGAAATGCATTTATGCATACTAAGCCCATATCTGTAGTTAATACTACAAAATGGTCTTTATTTTGAATTTTCATCTAAATTTATAATACAAAACAATTTAAAATAATATTATTCCAATTTCGATTTCCAGTTCAATAAATTAAAAATAATTTTAAAATAAGTCGACATTTTTTTATTACAATTTACTTAGAAGTAAAATTAGAGCAAGTTTATAGTAACTACATCTGAAATGAACACTTTAATTAAATAAAGAATTAATTTCACATACAGGATATTAATTTAATGTGTATATAAGAAAAATGTTCAAATCTGAATAGATACTTTTGTTTATTACTTATAACCAAAAGTAGTTGTCCTTTCCTCTTTTTTGGATGTTCCTTATTATCTTTAATTATGTGTTCACAAAACCATCTGTATTCATTATCAAAAAATTGTATTTGGTCTTGTAAATTCTGTAATTTCTCAAGAGTTAACCCGTCAGTTTTACAAGTGGACTCGTCAGTAAGAAATAGACATCTCGATTTCAGTCTCTAATGAAATCTGCAAAGGCATAAATTCAGTCACCTACAAATACATTTTTACGTTGTGGATTATATTTATTGGTGGGAATAGAAATATATGAGTTGGTGTTTTGAATATTTTTTCTAAACATTCTTTATGATTGTTAACTTAAAGTCGTAGTCAGAAATGGAGGCTCAAGAAATATAAATATATTAGCAATATTTTAAAAATCGATTTTTTGACTGGAGTGATGCAATGTCAAAAATATTAAATGTTGCTGCTAAATCAGAAGCTTCACATCGGTTTAAAAAATAATGCTACTACAAAGTACATAGAGTGATAATTTTTGATTAAAAAAAATCTTTTATTTTTATATATTTTTAAAATCGTATGTTTATTCTAGAATTACAAAATTAATTTGTGTTTGTGATAATAAAATAATTAGAATTGTGATTCAGCGCCGAGGGGCTGTGCCACTTCAGTAGCTACGGCACTGATATTATTAGCTTAAGCCTAAAATCTCACAAGTTGGCCAGTGCAAAGTGGCTCGATATGAAAAGCAGACGTAAACTCCATGCTGTAACTCTCTTCCATAAAATAATCCTTTTTAAAACTCCCCCATACCTCTACCAAAAGATTACATTCAGAAATGATATACATAATTTAAATGTAAGACATCGTGGCTTGATTTCTCCTCCATTACATCGCACTTCCATCTTCGAGCGATCATTTTCTTTTCAAATATACAATTTATATAATAAAGTTCCAGCAACTATTAAATTATTAAATTTATCAGCCTTTAAAAAGTCGTATAGGAGATTAATTAATTAGACTATAAACCGCTTAGCATTTATGTACTCATCCTCCTTTAAACAAAATATAATTTTGGAATTTGAGACCTGGTGTGTGTCGAGCGAGTGAAATATATATTTTTTATATATTTTTATTTTTATCTCTTACAATTCATACATTGTAACTTATAGGTATAAAAACCCTTGTTTAGTTTCTACGTTTGCCGCCGTCTTCGGATAGTCTTCAAGTAGAGAGGATATAAGTACTTAAAACGATTTTAATATTTTAATACTTTTGTTAACTCTTGGGGCTATCCGGGGTTGGCGACTGGCGAACAAAACCATAACCGAGGGCGTCCACTTTGTATCAGTTTTAACTGTCTGGACGTTCTCTTTTTGTATTTGCGTAATTATTATTTTTTTTTTTTATTGATGTAATTCTATTGTACACCGTAAATGCAAAATAAACTATTATTATTATTATTATAATTGTATAATTTTAGAAATATTTTTATTTTAGGGAAAACTTAATCAGAATTGCATTCCAGTGTCTTCAACTAGTTATCACAGATTTCTTACCATTAATGCCATGGAGGTGTTTACCATTGTGTGTAGACACTGTTGCCAAATTCGGTTCCCAAACACAAGAACTTAATATATCTTTAACTGCTGTCGGATTAATGGTAAGATAATTTGAAAACATATTTATTTGAAAAGTGTGTTTGACTATTTATTTGTATTAATTATTATTTTTTTTAGTGGAATATATCTGATTACTTCCATCAAAACCAAAGTAAGCTTAGTCAAGCTTCTGCAGAAGATAGTACCGTACTTCCAGATTTTCCTGGCACTTTGAATATGCCCAGTTTCGATAAACTTTGGATGTGCCTATATGCGAGACTGGGAGAGCTTTGTGTAGATACAAGGCCAGCAGTCAGAAAATCTGCGGGACAAACTCTATTTTCAACGATATCAGCTCACGGGACTCTTTTGAGGCAGCCCACGTGGCAAGTTCTGCTCTGGCAGGTCTTGTTTCCATTACTAGATAAAGTCAGAAATTTGTCTAATTCCGCTAGCAGCGAAAAGGTTGATGCTGGCGGGAATATTTTAATTCATCATACCAGAAATACTGCTCAAAAGCAATGGGCTGAAACCCAAGTTTTAACGCTCTCAGGAGTAGCTAGAGTTTTTAATACTAAACGGCAACTTCTGCAAGCTTTAGGAGATTTCCCTAGAGCATGGTCCATCCTATTAGAATTTATAGAAAATTCAGCTTTAAGTAAAAATAACGAAGTTTCCATAGCAGCTCTGAAATCCTTCCAAGAAGTATTATTCTTAAGCAAAAATCAAAATTCAGACAATAAATCTGTAGTTGAAGACAAGGACATATGGATCGTAGCTTGGAAAATTTGGGTTAAAATAGGCACAGAAATTACTGTACCACTAATCGAAAATGAATTGCAGCAAGATGATTTTTATATCCCAAGCCAGACTTTCCTCACATCTCTTGTACAAATATTCCCCAATGTCTTTCAGCACGTGAAAAACAATTTCACTTTAGAAGATTTAAAGCAACTTGGAACTGTATTAGTAAACGCTGTTAGTATCCCTGTTTTTGGTGAAACTCCATATATAATATCGACTTCAAGTGACGTAAGTCTAACTCCATTACATGATGGAGTCTTGCATGCTATGGAGCTTTTACAGAAAGAAACAATGTCAAAAAGTAACTCGAAAATGATACCAGAAATCTTCAAACTTCTACTGACATTTGCCAAGTTCACCTGTACTCCTCCAGCGTTCACAAAAGTCGAAAGTAAACAACAGACCAAAACAGCTGATTGGGTTACAATGAACTATGTACCTTTCGGTGAAAAAGCTGTAACAATGGTTGTTAAATTATACGAAAAGACTGCTGAAAATAACGAAGTTATTAACGCTAATATCCTAAGGGATATTATAGTGACACTTCACACCCCGTTAGCGTTGAAATATAATTGTGTTTCGAATAGTATATGGAAGTTGGCTGCTAGTAGTTTATTGACAGTGTTGAAAGTTGGATTGAAGGTCGCTAGAAACCATGGAAATCAATTTTCGACTATGTGGAATGATCTGTATAATACCTTGAATGATTTTCTCTTCCCAACAACGTAAGTTAAATTTTATTATATTTTATAGGACTTCACATATTTTATCCATAGATATATAACTAAAACAGCTCACATTCTAAGCGTCCTTTGCAAAAATGCAATATTTCTATTGAACATTGATGGCAAGTTTACTTAAAAGTAGTTATCTTGGTATAAAAAAATATGCCTGACAACAGCATAAACGATCAATATTTGTAAATAGTTGTAAACCCGTTTCATTCTAATTTAGTTTCTAGATTTGTTTATTATTGGTTAGATATGACCGGATCTCATAGGCGTACAAAAACAAATTTAAATATCAAAAAAGTATTTATGGTAAATTATTCTGATCATTTTATTTTACCATTCACTAATTTATAAGTAAACATATAGGAATTATATTTTCTACAGTTAGAAAGGGACTGCAATCCAAAATCTATTTAGTAACAGCTTTATTAAATCCTAAACAATTACGTCACAGTAATATACAGTGTATTAAGATTGATTTTGTTTCTATCTATGATTTAAGTAGATTTTATATTATAAAATACCATTCCGCTTAGAACTGTCGATTGTCTTTTCCATATCAAATATCTTGTACGAATTCTGTTTTTTTTTCTTCAAATTTTGCACTTTTCCTCAAATTTCCTAAAAGTTTAAGTTTGAAATTTGGCATTCTTTTCTTTATCTGTTTTTTGAGTTATAATGGATACACAGCTTGTAAATGGTTAGATCATAATTCCTGAACTTTCCTTACAGGATACATGAAAGTAAAAATTGAGAACTGTACTGGTAACGAAACTATTTATTTCAGATGTGCTAATGGAGAAAAGGGCTTAGATGATATGATTTCCGACGAAGCTATGGATTGCCAAATAATAGAGCTATTGAGAACAGAAGTATTGCCATATTCAAAAGCTATTCCCAAAGATTTTATAATGCAAGTAGTTATTCTACTAAACAAAGGATCGATACACTCAGCTACAAACGTGAAAACAGATGGAGATATTGAACTTACACTTAGAGAAGAATTTGCTAAAACTTGTTTTGAAACTCTGCTACAATTTTCTTTAATAGACGGGGCCAATAATGGATTCGTAGCTAATGGAGATGATAAAATTAACGGCATTGCTGGACATTTGGCTGTTACTTCCTTACTGCATAGGTTCCAGGAAGTTTTAAAGAAATACATCGAAGATGAGAAACTCAGTGGAAAGTGTCCTTTACCAAGGTACAGAGTATAAATCTTCTACTAGAAAATTAAATAAGCATTTTAAAATTTATATTGGGATTTTTTAACAATATTTTTTTTAGGTATCGCCTTTCTGAAATATCTTTTGTATTGAAAGCCTTAACTACCTTAATAGTGTCTATGAAAAGAGCAACAGTTGTGAAAGGTAAGATAAATGTGCAAAGCTTTACACAAATTGTATAGACTCTTAAAAAATATACGGATATTTCTGTAAACTAGTAGATCTTATTGCCATCTGTTACATACATTTTAGCTGATAATAATAATTTTAATAAATTATGTTTCCATTTAATTAAGCTAAATTAACTTGTATGGATTAATAAATAAATAATTGTACTGCAGTATGCTAACAAATCTTTGTTTTTAGAAGACAATAAAGCTTGGGAACAGCTCATAAGCCTCTATCCATATTTAGTGGAATGTACAACTACGACTTCAACACAAGTTTCCAGACCATTACGAGAAGCTTTGCTACAGTTCTGTGATCTCCTACAACCACCTCATAATAGGAATAATAATAATACGAGAATTACTGATAATTTGATTTAGTGTCAAATTCTAGCTGTACCTGTACAAATTGGTCATATCTTATTCGCGTAGCATTGGGGTTTTCTATACGGGGTAGAAAAATTATTTCTAGAAAATGAAAATTCAAAATCTATGAATGTTCATTGAGGAACATTTTTGACGACCTTGTATGATATACAGTACATCTGTAATGTATAGAATAAATTAATTTTTAATCAAAATATCAATTTTAAAGGAAATTCCCGAAAGAATTTGCCACAATTTGAATAAAAAGTTATATATCACACAGGGTTTGTATACAGTGTGTTAGTAAAGTAGTGGATCAATTTGTTAAAATTTCAACCAATAACTTTTGAAAAAACGCTTGAACCTGTCGAATTTTATTTTGATTTGGACATTCTTTTAAATAAAATTAATACATGGCATGACATCGATACTTTTTTCATTACAAGCCCACTGTTTACAAACTCTGTGATATATTTTTGATTTCAGCTATTCATAGGGTGTCTCATTTATAAAAATTGTCGCTGACATCAATACTCACATGTTCATCACCCTGTATATATAACTTTTAGTTCAAAATGTGGAAAATTTAAATTAAAAATCGGTAATTTCCTTAAAAATGTATAGTTTGGCTAAAAATGGTTAATTAATTTTATATTGTATACAACAAAATCGGTCAGTTCTGCAACCCCATTGCTGAAATATTGAAATGTATTTATTTTCCATTCTGCATATATTATGTTAATGCGGAACTAAATTATTGTAAATTGAATCCATAACAATCTAATTGATAAAAAAAATGGATCTTTTCCACAAACAGTTTGTAAACGATAAATCTATAAGCAACTTCATTTTCAAACGACCAGTCAGAACTGTGGACTTTTGCTAGAAATATTTTATCCCAAAATACTAAACCTAAGAAACACATCATGAAACTGACTTGATAATAATTGTAATTTCAAAAATATTTATGTTTTGGACCTAGGTTGTAATTTTATTCAGTATTATTCAAATATACCGGGTGTCCAACTATGTTTCATACAGCTCTTATTTGCAAAACGCTAATAGCAAAATCAATGGCATGCAATCACGAATAACCATGTATATATTTTTTATAGAAGCAGCTTTAAAGATACATAAATTAGAAAATTGTGCAATTTTTAAAATACGTTGGTAGGCTAGTTTTAAAATATACTGAATCTCTAGTCTTTTAAAATATCTTAAAGCTCATCAAATACAAAAGTTTGTAGTTCAAGGTGAGTTGAACATCTATCTATCAATTTGGTATTTCCTATTTACTGTTTAGGAGATGTTATTTGTAAGAAACAACGCGGACAACCCGGTATTTAAGTATTTATATTTTTGTTTATTAATATTTAACAGGGCATGAAAACTGCAACATATAAAGTTCGGACTTAGGAATGGTATAAATTGGTGTTTTATATTAAACATAATCTGTTCATATTTGTCTAATACAGTAGAGATATCAACATCTGTCTTTTTTAGTTTTTCACTTTTTGAATTCGACCAATTTTAACAAATTTTTGATTAAGTTAAAGAAAAACCTTAAGATTTTAAATAATTTGGTCCAAATGTTGCCAATTTTTCTCCTAACACTGAAGTCTAGCTCTAAAATTTTCCACCATTTTTGAACAGTTATGGCTTCCATTTCTGCTTCAAGTCCCTCAGATTGACATGGAGGTTGCGGTAAACTCGAGTTTCAAGATATCACCATAAAAAAAGTTTCATAGAGTCAATTCCGGACTTCGGGGAGGCTTTTCGAGAAATCAGCGATTCTTGATAAAATCCTACAAATTCTTAAAGAGCGGGTGCTAAAAATTAACGGATAATTCCAGATGCCGATATGGCGGTCCAAATTGTAACCTTTGGGCTATGCAAATGCCTTTAATGTTTTCTTTTAGGATTCATTTCACACCAGTAACAATAATTTTGATTATTAACATAGCAATTAAGGTGGAAATGAGCTTCATCGGAGAACAAGATGTCGAAAGAATAAAAACATTTCGTCGGCTAATAAAAGTCTGAATTTTACATAAATCTATTTTAGGAATTCGATGGTTCTTGTCACACATGAGCTCTCACAACCTCAATGTTTTCAGGTCTTCTCACTTTTGTTAAAACCTAAAACAAAACCTTTTTACTTGCATATTTCATGCCCTGAATATTATTATATTTTATAATTTCTGGACCATTTTAGATATGTAATTAATTTTCTATGCAATAACGTATTTTATTTAAATTCAAGTAGTTTTTAAATTATTTCCCACATAAATGAAAAAAAATATTTCAATTTATAATTAATGAATAAATTCACAAGTGTAACAATTTGTATTTTTCATTTATCATATGTATAAGATTTTTAAAATACTGAATTTCCAATCGAGGCAGGGTTTTGTAAAACTTTTTTAAAATAATAAAACGTAAAAATGTATATTATTGGGAGCAACTTTTAGCTAGAAATGGTTATCGTGTTTACAACTGTTTTTATTTTATATAGTTTTGTTGATGTGCTTCTATCGAAAAGACTTTTTATATTTTGGATTTTAAATTTAATTTGTATAAATTGAAGGTGTAGAAAATGTTAATTTAATATAATAAGACTGTAGAAGTTAGATATGTTTAAATTGTGATAGTAATTCTGTCTATGATGAAATTTTTAGTTAAAAACTTATTTTATGTTTATTATTTTTCTAATTATAGAACTCAAGAAGCGCGGCTCCTTTTTAAAGTAAAATAAAGATTGTTAATAATTTAAAAAAGACTGCTGGTCCTACTTTATTGAATATTTCATTCTTTTTGGTGAAAATATTGAAAATGTATTAGAAATAAATCAAAGTTCGTTGGTAATATCGGTCACTTAGCTTTCATTTAAAACCATAACAATTTTGGAAAACTGTTTGCATCAGAAGATGTAAACATTTAGTGTTCCGAAATGTATGTTGTGCTTTTAAATAAAAACTAAGTGACCAATATTACCAAAGCACTTTCATTTATTTTTAAACAATTCAATTGTAATCTCAGACATTCCTGATTTATTCTTTCATTGCGTATCTTAAAAACATGTTTTTATCACTATATTAAAGGTAACAGTTTTATTTTAGATCCCGTCTGCGTTTGCCACTGATTTTTGTCTTCTTTTTTGTTCGTACTACTAACTTTTGACGTAAAAGTTCCACTTACGGCTCTTGGGAAGAAATATTTTTCTCTCCAAAGCCAAAAGAAATTGAAAAACTGTACACATATTCTTTTAAGAAGTAGGTATATTTGAAAAATGAGTTAATATTAAAAGTCCATGTTTGTTTATTTATTTAAACGGAGCCCTTTTAAATATTACAAGACTTAACCTAACAAAAATGACAAAAATAAAATATATCTACAAATCTAGCTGATTGTATTTGGTTCCTATTATCTCAGAGTTATAATTATTACAAATATCACAAAGTATTCCCAATAGCAAGCATATAAATACAATGTTATAGAAAATTTTTGCTTGCGAGAGGTCCGCTTTTCTCTTGGGGTTTTAGTAATAACCAATTCAATTTAGAACTCATTAAATTATGCTTGACCCGATCAAAGGCCTTAGTAAAATCTAAATAAATTGCATCCATTTGCAAAACAGATTCAAGAGTTGTAACGATATATCATGATAAGTTACAAATAGAATTACAATTTAATAGGCTCCGGGATGTTATTTTTCTTACGACTGTATATAATTCCAAAAACAAGCAGAATTCGAAATGAGCTGTTGGTTGATATTGACCATGTAATTGCTTAGATAATATTTTGCAACAAGCACACAAACTGAAAATATGTAGACTTGATAACTTATATTTGAAATGTGCTTATTAATATGTTCTTTTCTAAAATTAGTTATTTGAGTTCATGGGCGAACCATCTTGGATATAGGAAGGTGGATTTGCCTCAAATTTTTTGGAAACCATGATCGGTTGTGCTTTGATGATCTATAAAGATATATATTTTTGGATCTCGAGTAATGTCTTCTACCTTATCCTGTACTAACCAATGTTCCACGCACACAGAGATTTAATAAGGCCAAGTTGATTAAGTTACATCCTGTTATACTAGGATCGAAAGCTGCTAGACTTGCCATCCATCTTTAAAATTCATATGGGACCACCCTTGAGGTACCCCCTTTCTAACAAAAAACGAAGCAAAGAAATCGGATGAGGTGGTAAAAAGTTACATAAAAAAATATTCTAACTAATTGAGAACCTCCTTCTTTTTTGAAGTCTGTTAGGTATAAAAAAAGTTAGGTACTGTATAATAAATTATTTACACAAAAAAAATGTTAAGTGTATACCTACCTATAAGACAAATTTAGGATATCCAGACATACCTATATAGGTATTTTAATCAAAATTGGAACTAGTAGACGTTTTTGCTTTAAATGCTTCATATCTAACACCCTGTATATACTGCAAGCCAAGTAACGTGTACTTTCGAAAACTTATATAATTATTTCGATTATCGATTTTCTTGGATTATTACTATTGATAAATATCACTTTACAATCGTTATTAATGTACATATATAACGTCAGATTACTATCAAAACTTTCTCTTTTTTTTTGACTTTGAAGTTTTCTATTTTACATTCATTTAACACCAACACATGGTCTTGCAAAAACTTGCAAATGTTACCTACCAATTGAATACACCACACGATTTTTCACGATAATTTAATAAACGATTTGGAGATAGCCACTACATTTCAATTAAGAAGTGGCCACCCTGTATGTTATTACAACGTTTAGGACGAATCAAAATGCAATAAAAGAAAAATTATCACAAACTATTAATATTACGTGCTTAGTCATAGTAGTCACTGCCAAAATCCCAGCATTGAAAAACTATTATAAAATTATTTTGATTATCGATTTTCTTGGGTCATTACTATTGATAAATATACCTTAAATGCAAATACATAAAGTCAGCTTAGTATCAAAACTCACTTTGAAGTTTTCTACTATTTTACAATCCTTTTAACACCAACACATGGTTATGCAAAACCTTACAAATAGGTAGGTACCTACCTACCCTTCGCGATTTTTGTTTTATAAAAAAAACTGTAAATCTGGCTTATTTAACAAGGTTATACTACATTTCAATTAAAAAGTAATGTTATTACAACGTATAGGACAAATTTAAACGCAATAAAAAAACTTATCGCAAACTTTATGAATATTAGTTCTGTGCATAGTCACAGTAGTCACTGTCAAAATCCCAGCACCGAAACGTAAACCGTCGATGTTCAAATTGGCGTTCATTTGTTTTCTTCTCGATTGCTCCGTGATTCAAATGGCGAGCTTTCATTGGCCGAAATCCTGATAAGTCGCCCTCCCTTAAAACTAATTCTGTTGTTGCACCATGCCAATCGAGGGGAGGTATTTATAAGATGAGATCATCAGTTCGCGAGTATGTATTGGAAATACGTAAACAAGTGTTTTTTTAAAAGAAGTTGTAATTTTGGTATAATTTATAGTTCAAAATCGTTTTAAGTTTGCGTTAATTTGACAAGTCTATGGTATTAGTAAAAAAGTGTTGTGTATTTCCAGCGGAAACATTGTTATTACAAGTCAGTTTCTACCATATACAATGAAAATTTGGCCGGATCTTTTCAACATTATGTAAGTGTAATAAATTTAAATTATTTATTTGAGATATAACTTCCTGTAGAATTTCAAGGTGTCAATGCAAGAACTGGACATCTATTTGTTTACCGTTTTAAGATAGGTCAAAAACAGTACTATGCTTTGTTTACAAAATTTAATTACCTTTTGACTTTATTTATTTAAATATTATCGACCTAGCATAAACATGTCCATTTTAAACAGTTTTTGTGTTAATATTTGACAGATATCTTGAAACCACCGCCACCGGTATTTAATTAGGTTTTGAATCACGATAAACAAAATGGAAGGATTAATAATTAAACTAATATGAACAACGAAAGCATTTACTGCAAACTATATGCATTGTTTAAAAACAGTTTTAATTTGAACAAGAAAGCAGAACGTTTTTTAAATCGATGTAAATCCATATAAATCTGGGAAGGAAGCAGCATCGAAGCAGGACGAAGTGTCACGAGAAGCTCCGATTCTGAGCTAGACGCAAAGCTATGGCGGGAACGTTTGAAAAAGCACAGGTCCGTCTTGGGTAATTTGAAACCGAATAATATTTTTTTGCTATATTACACTATTGTACCCAATGTTACTATTAAAGAAAGAAGTCTGGTTTTTGGATAGGACGATGTAAAATAAATCGGAGAAGATGGTCCATATTAAAAATTAGGTACTTCTGGTAACAATATGGACATGTCCATTTCTTGCATTGAACCCTTTGATTTACATTAAATTCAAATAAAGAAAATATCTCGGGTTGGATATATAAAAATAAACGGGATGAGCCACCTGTATTGCCTCGCTTTGTAGAGTCAAAACTACCTAATTGCTTTTTTTTAAATATGTTTTTACAGCGAGATGTACCTATATTACAAAAGACAACAATTTAAAAATAATTTCAATTATACAGGGTTTTTCAGGAAAGTAATAATTAAGTATCAAAGTTAGGTTTTTTAAATATTTGAATTGCTCTAGCTTTTCCCATTATATCAATACAAAAATAGTAGGGGCAGGTGGGGTAAGTGTAGACGGGGGTTAAATGTAGACCCCAAATAAGAGAAAAAGAGATCGTATTTTCATAGTCAATTTATGTACTCATGTTCATTAGAAATCGAAAAAAAAAAAAACAAGAGCCTTTGTACTACTAATATATTGGTCAAACTTTTTCTTGGTATATGAGACCCTATACAATCCTTACATTCAATAAATTATGTATCACTATAAAATAATCTGTTTTGGAGCAATTTTTCTGAAATCAACTTACGGGTGTAAGTCTCTCATCATAATAAAGTATTTTTTTCAATAACATGAACATTACATACCGGGGCCGCGAAGGTGTCAAAACTCCTCTCGTGGCTACATCACTGATTTAACATATATTAACTGTGATCCAGGCATTTTTTAGACAAATCAAGGTAGGTGAAATAGTAATTTAATCCTATGACTAGTGCTGGATAAATTATTACCTAAACATTATTTGCAAAAAAAATAATTTGAGACTTCAAACGATTTTTGTTAATAAATTTGAAACTTTGAAAGATTTAACAGAAGCAATATTAAAATTCTTAACATGCAACATTTTTATAAGACTGAAAAGATTGGCACGATCAGTAGGAACGCAGACTCATTATTTCGACACCGCCATCAAAAATTCTAAAGGATGTGACTTATTTTTTACAATAGAAAGTAACAAATTAAAAATTATACTTTCACTTAGATTGGAAAAATTAAAAAATATATCAAAAGCCTATCTTATTAATTTTTCTTTTTAGTTTGTAACATTTCAGTATACTAATTTGTATAAACATTTTTTTTTGTCATAGAACCAATTTGGAAATTACATGTAGATGTTAGTATATCAAATTTTTAAAAGTCGTAATTTTTATTGGAAGGAGTTTGATCAGAAAAATAATTATTAATTGTGGATAAGATTTTTATACATTTTTTAAGCCTGAAAATAAAATTAAAAAAGTGAAAATAAACAAATGACAAAATATTAGAAATTCAAAAGACAGTGTTTGTGTCTTTAAATTTGTAGTAGGTACCCTTTTCGTTTATCATCATGGTTGCTTGTATAGATGACAATATTCACGTTTTAGAAATAAAATAGATACGTAATTTAAAACAAAAAAATTCCTTAAAACTTGTTTGTATTCATTCAACTGTAGTTATTTTTAACAAGTTTTTCTTTGTGATTTTTATATATTGTTATCATTTATTTAAAAAAAATGTTATTATTTAACTGATATAGATGTATAATTGATTTTTAAAAATACATAATCATAATAAATGTTATATTTTATTTTTTAACCACTTTCATAAATTAAAAACATTCTAAATTATTTTCCAAAAATAAAACAATTGATAGATAAACAATACCGAATGAAAAATAAACTCAGGTAGGTATGATGTAATAAAAAATTGTATTGTAACAATATAAATCTGATTGATAATACAGGGTAAATGTTATAACATAGTTCTTTATACTGGAAAATGTAATATAAATAATATTTCATTTATATTGCCACTATTTATTGAATAAATACAGCCTTCTGCATAATAAAACACTTACATAATTTTTTGTGTTGAAGGTCATGATTAGGAAATATAAATATTGCTATTTACAAAATTAAACACTAAATTAACTAAAGATATCTTAACATATTTTACTTCCATATTTTTTTAAAACAATTCTTCATCTTCCATCTCTCCTCTGGTTTCAATTTTTGATCTAGCTCTCGCTAATATTGCCTTTAATTCCGTAGTACGAACTGTTTGATACTAAAAGAAATATTAAAATTAATAAAAAAAGACCTTTAAAGATGTAATATACACCGGTATTTAAGCTGCGCTAATATTGCCAGTTTCTAATGATGGATTAGCTACTGAGTGAGGGATGTTCGTTTTAAAGGTATCCCTTTGTTTCTCATGTAGGGCCCTTTCCTCCTCCTGCACTGAAGCTGGCTCGGACAGCTGTGAGTTCCCTAAAAGGGTCCTCTCTTCGTCTTCACCTAGGTACTATGCTGTGGATTCCGAGCCCTCTATTAACATTAGAGCCTGAGTCACTTGTTTTGTAACCCTACTTTTTGTGGATCTACGATCATGGGCTCCTCTGGTAAATATTTTCCTCAGTGGGAGTTAATTCTACCTGCACATTTTAAGAAGAAGCAGGAACGTCTTTGTAACGTTGGATGGGCAGTATAAACTGGCATGGCCGTTATTATTCTGTAGTTTTCACACGCACTTGTGCAAAGCGTACTGAATAGTTAATTTATTAAAGAAATAAAGTACTTACACCGCTAATGGATTTCATGATATTTAACTGGGAGTAAAGTCTCTTTCCCTCATCTCTACCGCATATCCTTTCCAGTTCTGTCTTATGAATGCCAAATAATTCTTGACCATTTACACCTTTAAATTTATTCTGGATATTCAAATCGAAACCCTTCGCATTCAACCATTCCCGTACCTAGCAGAATATTTAAAATACATGATTATATTAAATATTAATCTACCTAATGATTTTAAAAATAAAATTACCTCCTTTGGAGTCGACTTCTGATTAATATAAGTATCCGGTGTTTGTTTAATGTCCAAATGCCGTTGCTTGTTTCTCTCACGTACCAAAGTAAGAACGTTTCCAAGTTCCTCTTGCAAGTCACCATTGGACTTTGTAGACATAAGTGATTGTCTGGACTGAGTCCTTTTAATAGGTTGTGGAGTGGATGGATTACTAGGAAGTATTGTTTCAGGAACAGGGGGTGGTGGAGGAGGAGGAGGTGGAGTATCAGTTTGAATTAGGCTTTGCTCTACAAAAAGGTGTAGAATTAGATTAATTATTGTATATCTAGCTGGTATGGGAAAAGCTCTGTAAAACGAATACAACCAGGGCCGGGTTCCAAATCCAAACACGGTTGGAAAAATCTACCTATCCTACCAATTAATATACTTAAAAAATATTTTAGTTTTTTTTTATTTTCTTTCCTCCCAAAAAAAGTTTCCCTCGGTACGGCCCTGATTGCTACAATATACTAGCGGTAATCTCAATACAACAAATGACAGGTCACAACAGAATATAACAGGTTAACTTAATCTGAATTAGTTGAAATAAAATATATAATCTAAATGAGGTATAATACAGCATACATTCACCTCATACAAACACCTACACAAGCATAAAAACAAAAAAACGTACATACACTTGACACTAATATTAATTACTGGGCATAAATTACATTATTTCAGCGAAATCACCGCGCCTAGAAAATAGCACGAAAGCCATAAATATAGGTATATGTATTCAAAATTAAAACAAATATATTTGAATATTCCTAAAAATAAAATAAAAACTTTGGACCTTCTTTTCCATTCATCACATTCTATTACAATTTCGGAATATTTTTTGCAGTGAGCAAAAACTATTTTATAATAATCTTTGAATCAAGTCGTCTATGATTTTCTAGTATTTAAGACGACGACAATCAATCAAAAAATTACTTGCATAGAATTAATATGGTGGTTACTTATTGTGAGTGTGGACGCCATTTAAGTAACATTTTCAAAAAATAAATATAGTGATTTATCTTTATACATTCTAGATACATTTTTGGTAATGTTAAATAAAACTATCTAAACGTTAGGAAATTATTATGAATTATTAATTAATTCAAAGTAGAAAGACTATATAAGAATAATTTTTGTGAAATAGAGAATATTAATTGCGAAAAAGTTCCTTCAATAACATCCTTCCCTTTTGACATTTTCCAAATTTCCTAATAGCGGTTTTCTTTTCTTTTCAGGAAATACCCGTAAAAAATTTAAATCGCCGCAAATATTTCGAGTTAACCGGTAGCACGATATAAATGGTCTGAGCTCATGTTCATTTCACCTCTGACAATAAAGACGTTTCATCTTAGAATGTATGTCCTTTGATGTTTAATGTTGATCTTTGATTTACATTATACTGTCTTGAGATGTACCTTCCAGGATCAAATGGACAAGGCTGCAGATATACAGGCCGAAGATACATCTATGTATCAAAGGGCTGCTATAGAATTGAACATGATAGATGATCATTAATGTCGTCGGGATAGAAGATTTCCGGACGCGATTTTATCGGAAAACCTTTGGAGAAAATGGGTATGGAAACAGGAAAGAAATACTGGACCATCTAGTGGGATGGAGAGCAAAGGAACAATGAGCTGTCTCAAATGGTGAGTCTTTTGAATTAAATTGAGTTTTTTATAAACAAATTATTGCAAAATATCTTCTATCGAAATTTCTTATACCCATTATTGGAAGAATGTTTCTCTTATTATTAACAAATCTTTTTGGTAGAAATAAATCATTATACTCAGGGAAAGGCCCAAGGGAAAGGGGGTCGCTCCCCTCTATCCCCCAAAGGCCAAACGGTTCCAAATTTAAACACGTTGGCAAAATCTATATACACTACCAACTTTTTATACTTTATATACATAACAGGTTTTCTTTATCCTCTTCCCGCCCCCCTAAAAAAATTCTGCATTGGTACGACCCTGAACACAACACAGCAACATCACATTGTGCAGTATACAGGATTGGCCACCGAAAACTTTCTATCCTTGTTTTTTCTTCGTATTGATACAAAATCCGCTTGGACTGGTAGATTTAAGTTTAGAGGGAAAAACTTTTTGCAACTGCAGCCTCGCCACTTCAACTCTCGAGCAGCGTGATAAAGAACCCCTACAATTTAAATAGGGAAAGTACCAAGGATGACACATCATTTAAAGGGTAATTTGTTGGAGAATTCGGCAATTTAAACGAGACACTTCATTTGAAAGCAATACAACACATAACATTAATCTAAATATCTCCACATTACACATTGCGTTTTCTGTTTGCATCAATACGAAAAAACCTAAATTGAAAAGTTTTTGGCGGTCCACCCTGTATATAAGTAAGCTATCTTAGCAGTAAAGGGAGCAACTGCTCCTATTACAGTTTATACGAGGATTGTTCGGTAACTATACGTGGCTTAACACAGAAATAGTGTGACTTTGGAAGTCTTCTTTACCAACTGTAGAATTGTCCTTTAATTGGACATTCCAACGACCTGTCAAAATTGCTGTCTTTTGGCTTTGACAAATTTAAAAAAGAAGGTAAATATTGACGTTGTTTTACCGTTGTATGTGCATGGCTTATGAAACATGTAGTGTAGTTATCGAAAAATCCTCGTATTATAATTTTTTTTGTTTGACCCACTAAAAGCAATTGGTGAAAATAAAGCGAAAACTAAAAATGCAAACAAACAATTAAATGGTAAAGAAGTTTATTATTTTGTATAATATATCAGTATACAAAAAGGTACCATTTAGTATTACTTTGAGTTAGTGTAAAAATTATACAAAATCAAATATTAAAAAAATTATCAAAATATATACATACGTAGGTAATTAGAATTTAATAACATAAACTAAAAAATTACATAATGTTATATGTAATAAAAAAAATCTCAATATTGGTGAGCAATAAATCATAATTCATAACCATTATTAAACTATTTATCAGAATTTTCGAAACAACATATAATCTCAGAACCTGCCCATTTTCAAATGTGTTTGAAACCCCAAAAAGGTATTAAAAACAAATATTAAACAAATTACAAATTTTTTCTGTCGGATTTTTTAAAAAAAAGTTTTATTTTATCATAAAACTGTCCTATCTGTGTTAGAAATTATTTAATACATTTTTTTTATATATATAAAAGCATTTTCTGAGGACATTATTTTAATGAAATTGAGCAGGATCATTTCAATAAAAACATTCAAACATAAAGTTAGACACAGAAAGCAGACAAGGGACTCTGGAAGCTTCACTCAGAAATAGCGAAATTCGCCTTTCTTACCAATCCTCTCATTTCGGATCCAGTCTGTGTTAGTTTTTGATTGAGGTGAATGATCTGTCTGACTGTGTTCTCTGTTAAATCTTTCCACTGGCGATTCCTTAAAAAAAAAATTAGTTAGCTGTTGACTGTAGTGAACTAGGAGCCCTAAGAACTAATTTATTGGATCACAAAACTTTTTTTCATTTCTAAAAATATTCATTGCCTCAAATTTGCTTTTTCCTAGATTTTAAATATTAGTAGGTATATAAAACACTGGCAAGTATGTAACTATTTCGAATGTCAGAGTCACAGCAGCAATGGTGCAGACATGCGCATTAAATATTAAATGCCGCCTAAACTACAAGATTACCGAATCCTATTTTTGATTTTAAGTAACTTTTGTTTATAACAGATATACATGACAAACATCGTATCTGATGGTTACATTTTAAATGAAGAAACTTTTTTTTTGTTGAAGATATAGATATACTTACATTACCATTATTTTACTAATTTAAAGAAAAAAACAAAATATTACTTACGGTTCTTCTGTAGTTTTGTGTATAAAGAGGGTTATTGAATACATATGGAGTTACTATAGTATGGGGTACATGAGCGATTTGCCCTCTACTATTTCTTGCCTTCCACCATTTTCTACTATCGTCCAAAATCTGAAGGAACAAAAATTTTATAAAAAAAAATGTATTCCACATAATGCGGACTTTAATAGTGACACTGTATATATAATATAAAAGTTTTAATACCTCTAAAAATTCGCCTCGAACAACTGTTAATTCTTTATCGTTATTTGCCGTCCTGGGATATGTAACTTGAACAATATTAGCCCCTCGGTTTTGGAGGTCCTCTAAAAAACTCTCTTGATTCCTTCCAAAACCTCTTTCTTCTCCATTTCTTTCAATTGAATCAGCGGATATGTCACTTCGTGTACTTTCACCTAAAATAATAGAAAACAAATAAATACCATCCATGACAATTGCTAAAGAACAATAATGCTCCCCATTCTCCCCTTACGAGTAAACACCTGAAAGCAGTGAGGGTAAGGACGACTAATTGTTGTGGCGACTTACAAATAGCCTATCGAGATTGCAATCACATGGTTAGCCCTGGGATCCAAACCAGCATATCCCTTGGTAGGTTAGATAGACTAATGCCGCGTTTGAGAATCCACATCGAATGCATTTTTTACATCTCGAGCGTTTTTTTATCCACATCGGACACATCTGTCCCATTACATTTACATATACTAAATCACGTGATCAAAGATTTACTACATCTCAGATGCATCCGATGTGGATTCTCAAACGCGGCATAAGTATGTCAAGAAAACTTTTAGTGCAAATTTTATTGAGATATTATTCTGATGTACTGCTAATAATTGGTAGTGCAGAGGAAGGTCAAAGATTTGTCATTTCAAAGCCCGTATGTTAATAACATATGGTTCATACATTTTGCGATTATGGCTTTTTAACTGTTTCCCAGATGCAACTGTAAAATTGCTATGGCCCTTTTAAAATTTGCAATTAACTGCCGTTTAACTTTAATTATTCGATGGGCCGTTTATGGCTTTTTAATTTTTCCCACATGTAACTGTAAAAATATTACGACCCTTTTGAAATTTGTAATTAACTGCCTTTTAACTTTAATTATTCGATGGGCCGTTTATGGCTTTTTAACTATTTCCCAGATGCAACTGTAAAATTGGTATGGCCCTTTTAAAATTTGCAATTAACTGCCGTTTAACTTTAATTATTCGAGATGGGCCGTTTATGGCTTTTTAATTGTTTCCCACATGCAATCATAAAATTGTATAAATGTTTTGATAGGTTGTATATGGTTTTCAACTGTTTCTCACACATAACTGTAACAATATTACGGCCCTTTTTAAATTTGTAACCGTTGATGGGTTTTTAATAGTTTCCCATATGCAACTGTAAAATCGTTATGGCCCTTTTGAAATTTGTAATTAACTGCCTTTTAACTTTAATTATATGGCAATTGATGGCTTTTTAGTTGTTTCCCACACTGGCCTACATGTTAATTTTGTTAATTGTTTCGACGTTTTCAAAAATTTAAAAGTAAGTTGTCTCGCAACCGCGGTATACCTGCCAGGTCATTACTTTCTTTTAAAAAATAAATACAAATAAAGGATAAATGACTGATTATTTATATTATTTTTGTATCTGGTGTTGTAATTTCATGAAAATATCTGCTTTGGGATTCGAACCATTGCCAAGGTTTCAACTGAATGATTTAAATTATTGACCCGATTCATTTACTATTGAGAATATTTAAAAAAATACTCACCTAACGTTGCAGCTATATCTTTGTCTGGTTGATGATGATGAGAATTGTTTCTTTCATACATATCTTGACTCGACGAAGGGTAATCATTGTAGTCGCCTCCATATTGGACTTCGTGTTGGTATGATTTGGTTTCAGTTTCATCAACTACTGGATATTCCGGCGACCAACCATCCATAAAGACTGGGTGGTATGACGGTACGTGGCCCTTATACTGATCCCTGGGAATAAGCCACGCGCTTCCTAGTGAATGCCATAGTTCGGTTTCCTTGCTGGTGACACAATTCATTAGTAAATTAACAGCTTCCCTTGTCAACAAAGGTGAAATAACGTTATGCGGTATGTGTTGGTCGAAGTATGTATCGTGCGCTGCTTCTACTATCAAGGCTAAAGGTGTAAATAGAAAATGGACCAATTCTGGAGCGTTGGGATCGTGTATGTGAGCCTTTAGCTTTGCTAGAAGGTTAAAGGACAGCTTAAATTTTTGGAAAATATCGACGAATTCTTTTTCTGGAGGTGGCTTGGTTCTCATAGTCAACATGCCTGAAACGAAAAAATATCCAATTAATTTATTTAATTTGATTTAATAGTTAAATAGTTACCATCTCCCATGTCTCTTTTCTTGGTTTTCCTCGTTTTCCTTCGGCGCTCCAACTCCCTGGCAGCGGCAGCGGCATGTTGTAATCTGGCTATGAATTTTTCGATGTCATCGAAACAGTGGTTCAAAATCGTCACATCTCTTTCATATTTTTCACTCGTTGTCGAACTTGAATCGTCATTGTTTGCTGTTAGTTCCGAGTCTGATCCGTGGTAATCTCTTGTAACTTCTCTCGAAGGGCTAATGACATTTTGAGGGGGCTTGTGAGACGGGGGTGGAATGCTACTTTTGCGGCTTCGTGTCAGTGCTTTACCCATTCGAAGTTGGTTCAAGTCCTCTACTAGATCTTGAGCTGATATACTTTGGCACTATAAAAGAAGGATTATAAACGTTTAGTTTGGTGAATATACGAGGATTGTTCGGTAACTACGTGGCCTAATACAAAGATGGTGCGGATTCGGAGCGAATATTGCAACGTTTTAAATATATATGTATATATTATGGATTTTTAGGTTTTATCGTAACTAAAATTATATTTTATTGAACAAAAAATATTTACATTCTGTTTTTTCCTGTTTTCTTATAATAAAATACGAAAACTTTCCAGTTTGGTGTTTAAAGAGATCCTTACTATAATATTTACATCAAATCTTGGTTTCTTATCATGAACGATATCTATTTTTCAAAATAAAAAAAAAAAATATTTTTACAATGAATTTATTAATAGTTGTATTAAATAAAACCTTTATTCATTATTAAACAGGAATTCAAAAATATTACAATAAAGTTTTACCTTGTGATTTTGTAGCAATAACCCGTATAATAAACAGATTTATTATTTTATTATGCATGAAACAATGAAATTGATAAGGTTAGAAGCAAATGCGTACAAGTGGCAAAAACGTAAGTTTGGAAAATAATTATTCAATCTTTTAGATTGCAGTACATGATATATGTAAACTTGTGTCGTTTACATATACAGGGCAAGGCAGAACAATGAGCAATTTTAAAAATCCGCGACGTATCGTTAGGAAGTGGTATGTGTGTATTAGCATTTAGAAATAGTGGACCGATGAACCCCTCTGCAGCGCGCGTACGCTGTGAAGGCGTTTTATCAAAAGGTGTTATTTCCAAATCATGTGATTTCTCGAAATGGGGACATTACCTGGCCTCCTCGTTTAACAGACCTCACAACGTGTGTTTTTTTTTTGTGGGGTTACTTGAACAAGAAAGTGCTTCAAGATAACCCACCACAAACAATTCAAGACGATTCATGACAGGAAGTGAACCAAATTCTACTGGCAATGCCAGATCACAATTGGAAGAATTTGTACGCCTGAATCGACGTCATCTTCCCGGAGATTAAAAAAAAATAAAATAGTAAATTTATTTGAAAAACTTGATTTTTCTTCTTTTTTACACTTTTTAAAATTGCTCGTTATTCTGCCACACCCTTTATAATAATTTTACAATTATTGTCACTTCTCTTGTCCCTCTGAATTTAAAAAATAATTGGTCAAGATAAAATCCCGTCCTTAAAATATTATCGGGATACTTGACGTAAAATGCAAATCAACCCTAACAATTTCCTATATAAATCTAGTTCTTTTACATTTTTAAGATACTTAGTAAATTAATACAAATGATAAATATAACTTTTCTGCTAGAGAATAATTATCAGTAACCACTGACTTTTATACAGGGTGTAATTTTAACAGGTGATTAATGAGACACAAGTGGAACAAAAAAGCCATAAGGTTATTGAGCGCTTTCCAGTACGCTTTACTAATGTCCAAGTGAAATCTACAGATAGTTAACATTAGTGCAAATAGAAACGAATAATGGCGAGTCGCAAATGAAATCATACCTTTACAAACATGTTATTTTCTTTTGTTATCGGATATTTTTTGAGGAATATTCATTATTTGCTTGTAAACAAAAATATTTATTGTTGGTTCCCATAATTTCATTTGAATAAAACTATTGTCACCTAAATTCTTATTAATGTTCAAAAGTGTCTTATCTGCTTAAATAATTAAAAAAACTTAAATTTTAGTGATTTATCATGGCTGTACAATGTTATGTTAGGAATGGGGTGTTAATGCACTGCGACCTAAAATATCTATTGTGCTCCTTCTGTTGCTAATGCAGCAAAAAAAATGTCTCAATGCCTATAACGACCCTTCCAATCCTATCTTCTCAAGGAAGTGTAGGATTTGGAGTGGCTTCAAGTTAGGTAAATCTCCCTCTTCTATTTGATGTGCTCCTAGGTACAGTGCCCTTGGATTCTGGAGTGCTACCCATTCAGTGAATGTGAATTGAGGTTTGGTCCTCCTCCTCACTATCTTCTGCTACTCTGAGTTTACTAAGGTGTCCTTTTAGTCGGCAATGCCCAGTAAGGATCTCTGTTACAATACGTAACCTGTTCTTGCTCAGGCAGATGCAGGCTTCCAATCTTTTCTGGTTATATTCACCCAGAAGTATCTTAGCCTGTCTTAGCCCCAAGAGATTGTTCCAATCATCGGTTCTTCTGATACCGCAGAACGGCTCAGGTCCCACAAAGGGTGTCTGAGCCCCTTTCCTTGCAAGACTATCTGTAATCTCGTTGCCATGTACCCCGTTATGTCCCGGGACCCAAGTGAGAGTAACTATTTTTCTCTCCTAGCTCATTCAATTTTTCTAGGCATCTCTAGATCATTTTTGAGCTGATTACACGTAAGAGCTCAGCACTTTGATGGCTGCTTGGCTATCAGGCATGATAATCTCTTGTCTAAGATAGTTTCTCTCGATGTTAAACTGGATACACTTTTCTATGGCGTGAATTTCCGCCTAGAAGATGCTTGTGTATTTTTCCAAGCTTTCGAAGTGCTTGGTTCTAGGCCCACACACTCCTATTCCAGTTCCTTCTATGGTTTTGGAACCGTCCGTATACCATTGAATAGCATGTCTTTCGGTTGCAAGCGCGATGGATTCTTGGCTCCATTCTTTCTTGCTCTGTGGTTTTGAAGTTTTTCACAAAACTGTACTTCTAGGCAAGTAGACTTTCGTCTGATTACTTCGTTCCTGATCATTATATATCGTGTCCTTTTTGCCACATTCTCTATCATTAAATGTAGACGGGTGAGGTTTAAGATCACCTCCATTGCGACCGTAGGACATGTTCTCATTGCACCGGTGATGCAAACACAGGCTAGTCTTTGTACTTTTGAGATATTAGGTCTCGTAGTAGCTAAACTAGTTTTGTTACTCCAGGCTATAGCCCCGTAAATGATTTGTCTCACTATTGCAATATATATCAATCGCAGTGTGTTCGAGTTACATCCCCATCGTTTACCCGCAATGTTTCTGCATACCATTAGGGATTTTGTGACCTTATTTACTACTTCCTTCTCATGTGTGTTCCAGAGAAATTTGTTGTCTAGGGTTAGGCCTAGATATTTGACTTCATTTTTCAATTCTATATCTATCAGTAGCTGTACAATACACCGATGCAGAATATACCGATGTGTCATTGGTATTTGGATTTTGTGGTTATACTCTGAAAGGTTTCCAAATTCTCATATACCAACCCAGCATCCAACATTTGCTGCTGTTGAGAGCAGGAAATCGGTCGCTTTGCTCTTAAATGGAAGACCTCGTTTTGTAAGGATTTCTGAGGTCAAAGAAGGCATTTTAGAAGGTGCCGAAGAAGATCCAGAATTAAGCACCAACCAGATTAATTGGTAGGAAACTAGGATTATGTAAACATGTTTAAAAAGTAGTGCGCCTCCACAAGCGAAACATTACTTGAAAAAAATGAAAAGAAAGTAAAGAAAGTGCGTGGATGGTATGCAGAATGCTGTAAGAAATATCGAAATGAAGAAAAGGAAGTAGAAGTTAAAGTAAAGAAAGTTTCACAGGTTATAACCAAATGTTCCGTTTGTGGTATTTTTCTTTGTCATAAATGTTTCAATACTACCTACTAGTCACAACAATTTCTTAACTATGTTCTATATTACTTGTTTCTTGTAAATAAATTTGTTTACGTGTTGTTTTGATCTAAGCTTTTAAGTAATTAATATAAAAATGTTACACAAAACCTTCATCCTAAATGTGTAAGAAGTGATTTGTAGTCACTAGAGTTGCCACCTTTTTGAAAAGTGAATAAAGGACTACGATGCTGACAGGGACTCCGGTATACAAAAAGTCCTCATCCTTCCACTGACATTCTAAAAAAAGTCGCCGAACTTGTAACAAAAAAAATCCTCGTCATTGTCGAGCATTTAAAAAAAAATGTCCTCAGCTTATATATTTTTGTACAATCCATGTCCCTTCCAAAGGTACGTGCTGTCAAATAAGACATTTGCCGCAAAAAATGACATTTTAAATAGTCACAAGGACATTTTGCTTCAAAAAGGACTGTCCTTTTCAAAAAAAGGATAGGTAGCAACCCTAGTAGAGACCCAATCGAAATAATAAAAGTTAAGTATTAAAATAAAGTTTCGTTTCTTTAAAAAATCGATAAATTGCTGGAGCCGAGCTGGATCCGGGCTGGACTGGGCTGGATCCAGCTGGATAGACGTTGATCCAGCAAAAACTTAACTGTATTGAAAACACTGTTGGATTTCAATCCCTAGTCGGAACCCCCCCGGTTGTGAAATACTTTATTGTCTCTTGTCAGCGTGTTCACGGATTCCTTGAATTTGTGATTTTATTTATGGGTTTTCCAGCACTTTAATGGTAGCATGGTTCTTTCTTAACATAGTTTAACTTGTGTTAAGTGAATAGTAAATGTGAAGAAGAGGAAAGGATGCCTTAGCGCGCTACTCGAATTGTGAATGGCAGCATTGATACTGTGCCGTTTCTTTTTCAGCAGATATGAGCGCAAAATAGGACCGAAGGTTGGATCTTACCAGCACTACGTATTGTAGCAAGAATCACTTTTTAAATTATAATTGAGTTAACATTAATTCTGGTAAATAATAATGAAGCAATTTATAGAAATATATTAAAATTAATTGGCTAATATAACTTACCGAATAATAACTATGTTAAAATTGAACTCCAACGTGAACTTAAAGGCGATTGTTGAAAATCTAAAGCGCTGTTATTTTCTAAACCAACTAAAACCTAATTATAACAATAAAACTTGTTCTTTAATGACTCCACTTTAATGTAAATACCGGTTTTAATTTTCTGTTAATTGCACCGTGTCGATTTGTTACAAATATTGTAATAATAATATCAGGTAGAATCTGATTTATCCTGGCATATAAAAATAGATGTGATGTTTAATGGGGTTTATCAAAATTATTCTCATATTATCTCAAATTGTTTAATTGCCATTGTGATATATCTTATCTAGATTAATATAACTATTGCATTTTTTTTATTTAGTAAAACAATGATTATATACAGGGCAAGGCAAAACGAAATTGTATTAATATATTAAAAAAAGCACCGATGTAAACTTAGCGAAGGTCAAATAGGGCGTCAATCAACCCCAAAGGGAATTTCGTTACCCTAATTAACAAACCTCGTAACTCCATTTTGGCCAAATTCACATTTTCATGCCAACTTGTAGAGAGAAAAACCTCTATTACATGTTTCAAACCTCATAAATCCAGAACCCAGAATAATATTATTTTGGATTTATGAGGTGTGAAACATGTAATAGAGGTTTCTTTTCTCTACAAGTTGGCACGAAAATGTGAATTTGGCAAAAATGGAGTTACGAGGTTTGCTAATTAGGGTAACGATTTTCCGATTATTTAATAGGAATCAAATATCTCAGCTTCTAGACATAAAAATATATTTTTTTTTCTAGCATTTTTATCACTTTACTATTTATTTTATTTTCGTTTAGGTAGGAGGCTAATGGGAGATTTCTGAATTTTGTCAGTTAAGTTCAAATATTTTTTGATATCATCTTTAATTCATGAGATATAGCCATTGTGAGTTTTTAAATGGTCGTCCAGGATATACTCAGAAAATGTCAATCTTTGTAACGGAAAACCAAACAATAAATTCTGATCGTTAGTATAATAAAAAGGTTTGTTTTTAAGATATTACAAAAAGATAATTTTCAGTACTTTCTTAACATTTACATTATTTTAAAATAATTGTTTAAAAAGACAAAAGCCATATCGATGTAATTAATTTTGATTGATTACTTTAAACTTTGCTTTTGAGTTGTTTCTTGAAAAAATCTACTTGACATTGAATTAGATCACAGATAAAAAAATATATTGAGAATAAACTATGCCATAAATTAAATTAATAATGCATGCGATTGTAGGTATGTATATACGTAGTTATCTAATAATGTATGTTTGATATTTAACAGTTGAAATACGCAATTTTAAAATAAAATATTGTCACGAAAAGAAAATATCTTCTAAACGAAGTAGTAATTTAAATTCTGAAATATTTAACCTACATATTTCCATATCTAAATTTTTATCTTAAATTTGAGTGGAATTTGCAAAGCAAATATTTTATCAACAATTTTGCTCATAAACTAGATTTATCAGTTATCTTTTTGCCCTATTGACATATGCAACAAACAATATGTAGGTGTAGAAATACAACTTTTGTACCATGGCTCACAGTTTATTAAAAATGAAAATGTTATATTAAAAAATCAATATACTTATCGCTTATAAAAATATTCTTACAAATCAAATAAAAAAACAAAAAAAAATACTATAAACAACAACTAGAGGCAAAAAAAAATAACAGTAAATATTTGTGGGACACGGTGAAAAAGTTGTGCGGGGGAAAACCAACAAAATTTAAGATTAACCCTATTGCAAACGACAACGGACACTTATTAACAGGTAACCAGGAAATAGCTAATGAATTTAATAATAAATTTACTAGTTTTGGAAAAAAGTTAGCCGAACAAATTCAAAATAACCCTAACTATCAAATTAAATCCAAAATTCTACCAAATTCAATGTTATTAATTTCTACTGACACCAAAGAAATATTTAACCTAATCTGTGACTTCAAAAATAATAAATCACCTGGACATGATGACATTAGAGAAGAATTTTTAAAAAAGTTGCAAATCATATATCCGCACCATTTGCATGGATAATACAGGGTGTCCCAATGAAAAGTAGCCCGTTTCCATTTGATAAAATTCGGTTACGGTGAATTTAAAAGAGGAGATTTTTAAAATAGGTAATACATAATTTCTGTGTCACTGAAGCAAAACTTATAGTATACATTATTCTTCTCCTCCTGTATACTAAAAAAACCGTAACGTATTACCAATTTGCATAGTTAGTTTTTATACTCATGAAACCGAAAAACATATGTATTTCGATAAATAAATAAGCTAGAGCCAAATAAAGCCAATATTAAAATTTTTACCCAAATAGGTATTATCTAAAAAATCCGTATTTTTCAGAACAGTCCTCGTATAATTGGAGTACCTAATATGTGTAATAAAATATATTTTGTTAAAGTACGTATCGACAATCTACAACTTCTATGATTCTAAAAGACAAGAGTAGAATTAAGAAAAGCTAGCGGATAAAACTTGCTGATTAATAGTACGATTATAAACGATTACATAGATATTTACGCGTTTAATCGGAATTCTTGTGTACAACTAACAAGTAGGTACTCTTAACCGTTGCATAATTCTAATAACGTTTCATTCTTATTCATAGGTAGGGAAACGTTCCCTGCAATCATGCATTATTCAAATCACTTACCTGAAATATGTGCATTTCTGGTGAGTGTGATGGATTTGAATTTGATACGATAAAAACTAAAATATTGTTATATAAGTCCATTGGTTCTTGACTCATGAATGCAGTTGGTTCTTGAATAGAGTTTGCAGGAAATCGTTCCATCACATTCTGTAATAAATTAAATAAATTAGTATTATTCTTAAAAAATTAAATCAAAAATATTAAATATACAATAAATACACATATCGCCAAAATTCTTAGACCCCCTTATGTTTGTCAAAATGAGACACTAATTATTAAAAGTCAAGAAGTGTATTTATTTTGGTTATGTATCCAATACAAATTGGTTGAATTAAATTTTAACTGAACAAGAAAAAAATTCAAACGAAAAATAATGCATAATAAAATGATTACTAGAATTTGAAATCCAGAAGAAAACTACTTGAGAGCGAAATCAAAAATTCATTAATATCCAGCGTGTCCTTTCTTGCATGGAAATAATAAGGGTTTTGGGATGTTGTTCCATTCTTTTTAAGCCGCGACTGTGAGTTCCTGGAGGATGATAGGAGGATTAATTCTGTTTGAGATTGCTCGTCCAACGAAATCGCACATGTGCTCAATGAGATTCATATCTGGAGAATTTGCTGGCCACGGTAATCTTTGAATATTCTGAATTTCTAGTGCATTATGTACCCTTCCCGTGCGATGGGGCCTATAGCATTGTCATCCATGAAAATAACATTGGTTCCATTTTCATTTCGGAGAGGATAAATAATGGGTTCAATAATGTTTCGAACATATCTATTGGCTGTCATAGTGTCTGGAATGGGAATAAGCTGCGTACGACGGCCATACATCATGCCTCTCCAAAACATTACTGTTCCTGCTTGGTATGGAACGACTTCTCTGGCAAAAGATAGTCTTTCTGGTCGCCCTGGCCCTCTCCAAACTCTGTGTCGACGACTATAACTAATTAAACCATATCTGGTTTCGTCCGAAAAAAGAAAATTTCGCCACTGAGCTAAAAGCCAGTCTCTGTGTTCTTGTGCCCACTGTAGACGAGCAGCTATATGTCTGGGAAGTAAACTAGGTTCTCTTAATGGTCTCCTAGATCGTAAATTGGCTCCAGAAAGTCTTCGCCGTATTGTGGTACTGGAAATGAATCGACTATACGTTCTTCTAAAATACGTTCGAACAGCTGATACTATTATGGTTCGATTCCGACGTACATACCGATCTCCTCTTGGATTAGTTACCCTAGGACGCCCAGTCCCAAGTCTCCAGTCAACGCTGTTAGTTTCCTGGTACAAACGCACTATTCGGATAACTGAAGCGCGGGGAATCCCTAGTCTATCTGCGATTCGATGATTCTGCAGACCCTCATCATGCAAAGCCACTATTCTTGCTCTATTGAACACTGAAATTATATTGCCAAGATGCCAGGCATAGTTGCAAAAAAAAATTCAACAATCACTTAAACACGCAAAATCGATATGAACCACTTTTTAAACATTGGTACCTAAAATTGTGGGAAATTGTTTTTGTAAACATTTTTAGATGCGTATCAACAATGTACAAAAAAGCAGTCATGATAAATATTTCGTTTTAAGAATTTTGGCGATGTGTGTATATAAATTCATCATAGGCTGTCATATCAATGTATTTTTCAAATTTTTCTTTTAATTTGAGTAATTATCTTGAAAATTAACCAAGTTGGATACAAGCGTAGCGACAACGAAAGGCAGGGGGGAAGAAATTATTTTTTGTTGTTGTAAGTTATTGATTGGGACTTTTTATATAACAAAAACTCTCACAAACATAAATTGTAAAAAATTTAGAAAACATACTTCATATTATAGAAAAAAAATCAAAATAAATTCTGAAAAGAAAATAAAAACTTATAGTACATCACAGGGGCGGTTTCTCCATTGGTTCATTTGTGCAGTGAGCACGCAGTAAACATTTCCGGAAACTTTTCTCTTGATAGGTATCCTACATAAAATTACGCTGGAATTTTTTTTTGACATTTGCGAAGCTCTTTCATGCATATGATATTACGACGCGTCGGTGTCATTAAAATATTTGCCATTTCGATGGTTAAAAATTTTATTCAATACCAATTATAGATAGAAATACAACCTATTTATTTTAAGTAAAATAATAATTAAATTTAGCCAGTAGTGACTGACTCGGCATTTTGCAATGAACACTTTGTTAGCTAACTTAGCTACTCCACTTACTATCAAGGGCAGCTCCGAGGGGCATAGTGGCCACGCATAGGGAAAATTCTTCCGATTTATGGGTTTTTTATTCAAACAAAATATGCTAAGAAGGGAATGGCCAAAGGCAATGCCCCCCCTCCCCCCCGAAAATTCGTCTTGGAGCCGCCCCCTTGTTTACTATGCCACATACTATGATTTCAAGAATATTTCTCAAATGGTTTTATTTTTAACAAAAATTTATCACCATCCTTTGAAAGAAGGTATTTCTTAAAATCTGTGCAGGTAAATGAAAAATTGTATTTTATAAGTTTGAATTTAAAAAGCGGGGCATTTGGGTACTTCTGGTGACCCCCCTCAGTGCAAGGGGCAATCAATTTATATAAATATAAAAAAAAACGAATTCAGAACGGTTGTTCCCTTTTTAAGCATATTAATTAAAATAAAGGATGATGAATTGTAAGAATTTTAAACTCGGGGGAGACACGACCCCTGTGGCCCTCTCCCTAGAGCCAGAGATGCATTACAATAATTATTCAAACACGTTTATACATTGAAAGTAATTCGCTGCCCGAGCGGTAAGGATTTTCTAAAAACACCCTTCGTGAACGATGTGTTTATGTTTAGTATAAATGCATTTTCAAAATGTACATAGAATATTTTTTGATTTAAACGAAAATACATGTATACTAAAAGGATTATAATATTATTATAAGATTAAAACATTTAAAGGAAGCGATAATCTAATGCGGTACATCAAACAAACGCATCAAATCCATTACAAACAAAATAGTAATATTTAATTCATTAGAAAACAGAAAAAATGTCGGTACTTTTGATGTTTCAAGATTTTCATAAGTAGGTACGTTTGTTCTATTTAAAAAAAATAAAAACACGGCCTTTGTTATATATATTTGGAAACTCTAATTTGGCGCCGACGGAGATTCATATTAATGTGTTATGAGTGTTATGATTTTTAATATGACATGTTTTAATAATTACTCTTATTCTTTTTTTTTAGATAATTGTAATTGACTTTTCACATTATTCGACAAGCACGGGACTTTTGAATCTAGTAACACTTTTTGCCGTCCCACTCTTATCCTCGTTTTACAACTATTGGGTTGGCTACAACGATTATCCCATGTAATTTTTACTATAAACGACTGTCATCAATTCTATATAGTAGTGAAACTTTTTTGGTACACATTTGCACAAGGCTAAATTATAAATATGTCGTTAATTCTTGCAGTGTAGAAGGTGGAAATACTTTGCTGCAATCGATCTAGCGATGAAAAGCCTTGTTAGCAAGCAATAATGGACGTGAGCCGAATTTCAAGGAGGTGGCAGCAAACTTTTCTACTAACTTTTGATGTAAATAATAACAAAGTTTCAAGTTTGCGCTTCTATGACAGCATTTTTTGCACTGGATTTTTTAAAAAGTCATCGTCGAGGGGTCCATCGCTGCACAGCAAACTATTTCCATGTTCTACAAGGTGATAAAGAACGAAATTACCGGGCCCCTGTAATTTGTACCCGCCGTTATGGCTACAAGTACAGTTGGTAATGAAGTGCTATATCACTAATAGTGGATTTTATTTGTTGCCCTAGTGTCACACTCTACACTGTATTCGAACTGTCATCATACTTGTCAAAAGTATATGCTGCACGTGTGCTACTGTCAAATATTTGAAGCTACACTGAACAAATCAAATGCAATTAGTTCAGAAAACTTACACCTAGTGCAACAAGTGACACCCAACCTTACAAAATGATACTCAACGTTATAAAATAGCATTTAACGTTACAATATATAACTCTGAAATGCCTAAAAAAATCACTATAATTTTTAATTATCGTGATGCTTTGATTTGGTTTATCTGGTATTTTCGGATCGTTAACTATTTTATTTCACATAGAATAATATATTTGAATAACATGGCGAATAAAAAATGCATTGTTAGATTTTACATAACAAATTAAGTGTCCTTGGTTTTTTTCTAACAAATTCTTGTTTTTTATCAGGTCGTATCGGAAAAAAGCAATTTTCTACTCGTATTTAATGATTTTTGAATTCAAATGAAATAATTATGTGCATTGCCATTATAGCCCAGGCAATGAATCGTTTAGGACAAGGGTTATCTACGAAAAAGTATAATAAAGCTACAAATTGGTATTTGGGTCCAATTTGATGTGCTGATGATACCCTTTCAACTGCTACAGGGCTACTGGCTTTTATTTTTTTAGGGGGTTTCGAGTCTGAAATGAAAAATTCTTGTTCAGTCTTTATCTAGAGGAGAATATTTGTGACAAAAGAGCCTGTGACATTACTGCCCTAGTATTGATATTTTACTCCCGGAGCACGACAACTTGTGGTTAGAGACAACCCAGCGAGACGTATAACTCAATGTATATTTTTTGTTCGGTAAAAGTTGTTTGGGCGATTGTAACCACAACCAGTCTATGATGGCGCCACTAGTAAATAGCGGGAACATTTAAAAATGCTCTAAGGCGGGAAATTCAAACATGGATTCAGAAATAAATAGATTTTCTATACAAATTTACAGGAGAAACAAAAATATTGTTTCACGGTATATTAAAATATATAAAAGCTTCCAATAACATCAAATTTTTTATCAAATAAATAATCATTTTAATAAAGGAAGTTTTAAACTGTTCAATATAAGCAGTGAACATAGTTTTTATTACTCTTGTAAATTTCGCTAAAAAAAAACTTGAAAATTCTATTGATTATTAAATATTTAAACTTGGAAAAATAATACACCAAACTCTTTTTCTATAAATTATATTTTTGTAAGGTACAGAAAAACACGTTTAGAAAGTACCTCGTATCATTTTGTGACAAATTACAAAGAAAGTCACAGTTGTTATATATTCATAATATATTTAAAAAATAATGTAACAAATATTTTATAAAGTATAGAGTATATCGATACCTTTTTGCCAGACTATCATAAGTGCCATTTGAACAAGTGTCGCCTACGCTAGTCTGGCAAAAAGGTATCGATATGTTATGAATGTTTATTTTGATAGAAACCATGGAAACGAAACAAACACACACATACACTCACACAAATGTATAAGGCCCGAGTTGAGTAAGTTCCCATCCTGTAAACTGGATCGAAACCTGCTAGACCCATTCCGTACACCCCCCTGCTAACTCCTCTTAGGGTCATCAAGATTTATTTTACGTATATTTTAGAATGTCTATAATAATTTCTGTGATATTTAGATGAGATATTTCTAGTTTTGTGGTAGCTCTACAGTACTTATACACCAACCGCCACTGTCATGGTAGTGTTGCCTGTAACAAGACATGCCTTTTTTCAGGACACTCTAGAGCAGCTATACTCAAATTTTTTTTCTTTCGGGCCACATAAATCTGTTTGTTATGCTACACGGGTTACAATATTTTTAAGGGGTGAGGATAGGGATCCGCTTTAAATATTTTCTAAAGAAAAAAGTCCTCATGTTGTTTTAGTTGTTTTAATAAGCTTTGAAAAGTTACAAGGACAGGACTGTTACTCAACCATTTCCATTACTAATAATCGTGTTTGGAGCTGCACAAAAAAGCTTGGAGGACCGCAAAAAAAGCTTGGAGGGCCGCAAAAAAAAGCTTGGATGGCCGCAAAAAAAGCTTGGAGGGCCGCAAAAAAGCTTGGAGGGCCACACAAAACAGCTTGGAAGGCCGCAGGTTGAGTGTAACTGCTCTAGAGGATAAACTTTAAATACTAGGGTAGTATTTTCACAGGGTTTTTTTGTCACAAATATCCTCTAAATGAAAAATGATTTTTTCTCAAACTAGCTATTCTTAAAAAAATTTTTTTTAATGCCCCTAAAACATGCTAGCAATGCAGCCCAGGAGTAACTGAAAGGGAATCATCTTTTTTATAAAAATACTAGTTATTACTAATTGATTTTCTTTTCAGTAGCAAATCTATTAGAAATTATATAGATTAATATTAATTAGTAGTTTATTAATTGAGGAGTTTTAATATTTTTCATTCAATGAAATTAATTAAATTAATATGTGTATCATGATTAACAATGCTGTTTCCATTATTGAATTTCAAATGTACATAATATTAATTATCATTATATGCATATACTGACATTTTAAAATACTTTCGAATCCTGTATACCAGAACAATAATTCCATCACCTCTCTTTCTCTCGCTTACCCCAACAAACATATGTTGTTAGAAGGTTGCCACAACAAAAAATTGCAGCTATTATGCTCAAATATTCGTAATTTCAATGAAATACCTATAAAACCTTATTGTAAAAAATATTTGACATTGTTGCAACTAAAATGGGGGTAGTAGCAACAAATTATTATTTACATCTTAATCTTTATCGATTTATTGATGTATATTAATTGTGCATTTTGAAAAATTAGTTGTAATAGCATACCTTATTGTTTTAAGATAAAACAGTTGATTTCTACAAATTTTAAATAGATTTTTTGCACAAAAATGAATTGCCCTGTTATACTACTTACATATGTTTCGAGTTTCATAGTTTGGCTTTTAATCGCCATTTTTTTGTAAACAACACAAGTCATTTATTGTCTAATCAATAGTTTTTGTCTACTTAGGTTAAATTGATAAACAGTTCAAAAAATATTCGGACATCAAAACCTAAATTACAGATTTTTGTTTGAATAATTTTCAAAAATCTACATAGATAAGAAATTACTCATACCATTTGATATTTGTTGTTAAAACGTTAAATATAGAATATAGATTGACCTTGCTGGCGCCTAAAAAAAATTTATCAGTTTTGATAACAGCGATTATCTATTATAATCCAGAAAGGGCGGCTCCAGGTCGAAATTTCGGGGAGAAGGGGCATTGCTAATAACAATTTCATTTTTAGCATATTTTTTTAATAAAAGGCTCATGGATTGTATGAATTTTAACTTTATTCCACCAAACTACAATAGATTATTCCATATTATAGATAAGAGGAATTTCCAATGCTTAATAGAAGTATAAGGTGTATTTTTGAAAAAATGTAATGGATTTAGAGTAACAAATAGATTTATATCTTGTATATTTTATCATGAATTGTCTTTGTTATCTTAATCCGTTGTCTGATACATACAAATTAGGAAAACAATATTAGCCAGAAAATCTTACATTACTGATGTCATCACTCATTATATTTATTTAGGCTCAATAGTCTACGTAATTGTTATCTAGTTTGCATTTTCCGTTTAACAATTTTGACGTTTTTGTTAGAATATTAAAGTAGGGGATTAACAAATGTTAGTTTTTTATACCAGCACAAACAACTACTTGACAGATTATGATTTTTTTTTTCATAAGTCCAGTAAATTTTTAAAATTGGTAATTTAAAATTAAAAACAGCTTGTTTTCCAACATCTATTAATATCTATCGAAAAATGTCATCTAAATATCGCTTTTCCTTTTCGATTGGTTTTTTTTTTTTAAATTGAACCCTTCTCAACCCCTCTTCAGATTTTTTCAAAATCAATAGGCTTCCTTCATCTCCATATAGAGGTTGATTTTTACTACAAATTTCATGTTGATACCACTTTTTATTTTTGATTTATGATTTTTTTTAATTTCAGCCAATAATAAATAATAATAATAATAATAATAATAATAATAATAATAATAATAATAATAATAATAATAAATAATAATCTCGTAATAAATGTCATTCTGTGGAAGTGGCAAAAGTATCAACCCAAAACATTTTAGGTATAATTTTTTCGATAGCTCTTTACAAAAATAACTATTTTAGTCTATATGAAAAGAATATTGATAACTGGCACAGTTTCCGAGAAAAATATAATTTATTAAGAGATGTGTATTCATAAAAATTTGGTGTTTTTTATACCGAGTAAATGGAATTTTATTAAATAAAAGTCAACCATCAAAATTAAACAAATAAAAAAATGACACCATCAATAATCTATAAATCATGCTAGAGCACCATAGTAAATAATAATCAAAGGCGACCCTTCACAGCCCGCACATTCTCTACATTCAGGGGTTCATTTGTAAAGGGGGTGCATTCTAACCGAGAGTATTTATCGGGCTTATAGGTTGTACTAATCGGGAAAATGAAAATCACTTACCCCACTTTCGTAATCCATAATGAGCACCCAAGAGTTATCTAAACATAGTTGCATTTTCTGCGACCAAATCCCGTTGGTTTTTTCCAGCTGTAACAATCTTCTCATTCCATCTGCTGGGTAGATGATGCCTGTTTCTTTGGTAACTGTGAAAGTGGCCAAATGCTCTATGATATGAACTGGTTTCCCAACGCCGTCGTTCATTCTATCGTCTCGTTCAATTTCTCTATCACCTCCAGAATAACCGTTTCGATACGCCATGGTTTTGAGCTTGATTTAATCCTGGAACAAACATATTCGTGTAATATTTTTATAACTAATACAAAAGATAATTAATTATAGGTAATATCTAGGTATGTTGGGTGTGTAGAGAATTAAATAATAATAATAATGATGATGATTGTTTATTAACCATTTAAGAGCACACTTTGAAAATTTTAAAGTCCTTCTGCGCCTTTATTTTTAGTCCGAGTTTTGTGAATTTTTCAGGAAATACCAATAATATCAAAACGTAGCTTTTGACAACACGCCACACGAATATGTAGAAAGAGCACTTGCATACAGAGGAGTAGATAACATCACATCCAGATGGATGGCTCAGCTGTTATCTACGAGAACTGCCATCAAAGCGCTGAGCTCTTACGTAATCAGCTCAAAAAAGGTCTGGAGATGTCTAGAACAATTGAATGAGCTAGGCGAGAAAAATAGAGTTACTCTCACTTGGGTCCCAGGACATAACGGGGTACAGGGTAACGAGATTGCAGATAGGCTTGCAAGGAAAGGGGCTCAAACACCCTTTGTAGGACCTGAGCCGTTCTGCGGTATCAGCAGTAACATAATATTAGGAGATTAAAAAAGAATTGGGCAGTAAAAGAACCGATAAGTGGGACAATCTATTGGGGCTGAGACAGGCCAAGATACTTCTGGGTGAATATAACCAGAAAAGATCGGAAGCCTGCATCTGCCTGAGCAAGAACAGGCTATGTATTGTAACAGGGATCCTTACCGGGCATTGCCGACTAAAAGGACACCTAAGTAAACTGAGAGTAGTAGAGGATAGTGAGTGCAGATTCTGTGAGGAGGAGGACGAAACCTCCATTCACATCCTAACTGAATGTGTAGCACTCCAGAATCCAAGGGAGGATATCAAATAGAAGAGGGAGATTTACCTAACTTGAAGCAACTTCAAATCCTACACTTCCTTGAGAAAATAGGATTGGAAGGGTTGTTATAGGCATTGAGACATTTCCTTGGTGCATTGGCGACAGAAGGGGGCACAATATATCTTTTAGGTCGCAGTGTATTAACACCCCGTTCCCAACATAACGTAGGGTGGAGAAACCTTTAGAAGGTATTTATTTTAATAATAAAAAAAAACATACGCCATTCTATATTAAATCTATGAAAATTTGCTTCTTGTATTATTAAATATCTGGTATTTTTTAAATTGGAAGCTGTCTCTGTGGAGAGCTGCCTTATCGTAGCACAAATTTAAAGCTCTCAATATTCTCAAGACATATAACAATTCGAAGTATTCCCAGTGCCGCGCAAATAAATACAATTTTCTATTAGAAAATTCTCTCAAAATGTTTACTTTCGCCAGAGGTAATTTTGCTCTTAAGATATAAAATATCTCCCGTAAATTAATTGTAAATATTATGCATAATAATATAGATTCTTTAAAATTGTAGACAATTCTGAAATCTGACACCACAGCGCGTTTAAACCTCTGTATTGACCATATAATACAGTAAATCTAGAAAACAGAATACTAATAAAAAACTATCAAAAAAATAGAAAGTGATGACCTGATGACTAAACTCATTGATTATTATTATTGTACAACTAAACTAGTATCATCTCTTTAAATGTCGTTGACCATAGTAAAATATTTTTAATAGAGCCTCAAGGTATAAACAGGAATTTCGCTAAAAATACTACTTCGTTATTTTGTTTTTGTTTTAACCACTTCAAACCGGTATTTCAAGAAAAAAAGCCATATATTTTATTTAATTCCCTTCAAATCCCCTAGCTGGAATTTCTTTAGAATTATAATGCCAATTTGTCACTTTATACCAAATTCGGTTTTTCAAACCATTGCTTAAATAAGCTGGAAGACATATCTTTATGATAATCTTTGCCATGAATAGTAAAGAATTTGCTACATATCTACTCTCATTGTTAGTGTGTAAAAATAATAATTATTATCTTTCCCCTATTTGTAGGAGCAGGGGATATTTAACTGAGTCATCATTTCATCACAAGATTTCAATTTCTGGTAAATAAATATTCCAAATTTAACAATTTAACCAATATTTGAATCATATATGATTCACTCAGCCTCGCTACTAGGATTTCCAGGATGCTGTGTGATTGGTATATTATATCGTTTGTATAACCACTGATCGGAAAATATCCCTGTGCTCATTTTCTATGTAAGAAATAACAATTAAGTAATGAACAATAAAAAAACAAATATTATTTATTTACTGGTTTTCACATTTTTGATTAATGCGTCATTATGACGAACAACATACGCTTAAGTAATCGAAGACAATATGCTAGACTAATGTATGCTACACTTTTGAGAAAACATGGCATAAAACTGGGAATAGTTGCGGATTTGCAAAAACTATAAAATAATATAATTCACGTGGCTTTGAAGCTTTTATTTGCTTTCGAAACCAAGTGAATAAATTATAATTCAAGGGGGTGATTTAATTTTTATATTCTAGTGAGGCAGTTAACGTGTTAAGACAGAAGCATAAGATTAACTAACTAATTACACATTCCAACGTCGTGTCCAAATGATTGCCTGATGAAATGTTGACACATAAACGTTTGTTTATTAATCTGTTCAAGTTGTTTTTGTACATAATTAGTTTTAATAACAGTTCTACTTTAGTCTGTTATTAAAAATTATATAAATTTCCAAATTAACTCGTATTTAACAAAAAAAAAAAACACATCAACTCTATTTAAAATTGGGGCTTGTGTATCATCTTTAATTGTCAAAAAAATCACGTGGGTGGAATTTTTAATTATATATTCAAAAATTGGTAAAGTATTTTATCCAAAACTTCCCTCGATATAGAAATTGTAAAACCAGGGAATTATTAAGCAGTTAAATTTTAGTAATTTAAAATTAAAACCACCAAATCATCAATTGTTGATGTCCCAGCCCCCAGCCCAGCATTCCCAGCCAGCAGTAGTAACAAAAACATTAATATTGTCTACATTCAACCCATTTACATGTACATGATTTATCAGCTAAAAGCAGAACACAATAGTTCTCTGCAAAATTAAATTATAAGGAAAATTGCTCATGTATAAATTTAACAATTAAATCAAAATCAAAGGGCTATTATGTTAATTATAAATATTATAATATAAATATTTGTAACTAAATAATAGTTGTGTATTAATAAACCTGTTGCCACTCCAACAAATATATTGTTTATTGATTATCAGGCATCAAAAATATGTGTACCTATAGAAATTTGTTGAAATATGTTCTATTATTCTTAATCTTTTAAATAGGTTCTTATTATAGTTGTAAATAAAAATCAACACTTTTATCCGTCTATTTAACACTTATAAACATGCATATTTTAAGTTGTAAGGATCTTAATTTTTTTACATTGGACACAAGACCTGTGATGTAACATTATATCGTGAATATGAGATAAAGCATTTGGGAGTTGTCTTTTAGTCTAATTTGAAGTTCAATAACCATTTCTTACACATAACTAAAAAAGCAATAATTTTTTAATTTGAAAAGCAGCAGAACAAAAATTCAACTAATCAGGTATAACCAAGTCCGTGTAAAGAAAGCTTCATATCCTGAAAACGTCGTGTCAACTAAAATTTCTACTTTTAAATATCAAACGTGCCGCCTCAGAGCAGTGTTGCCAACCCTGCCGATTTTTCGGTAGATCTACCGATTTTGGAATCATTCCACCGATATACCGATTTAATCTACCGAATTACGGGACCTTCGCTTTCAATATATTATTATCTCTTCCACATTTCTCAGCTAATGTAGAAAGAATATTTTCAGCTATCAATTTAATGAAAACTAAACAAAGAAACAAATTAAAGACCGAAATCGTAACAGGATTGCTACATGGTAAAAAATATATAGGTAACAGAGTAACAGCCAACAGCCAGTGGCGTAGTAACCGGGGAGGTTGGTTGTCAGAACACAAAAAAATATTTTTCCCATTGGATTTTTTGTAAAATTTAAATTGACCTCAGGTGCCAGTACTGATTGATACATATACTGGGGTAGTAGCAACCCTCGTTGAGCTGCGGCATTGCACAGAGTTGCAGAGCATAAATTAATTCTAGTGTACTAGCTACCAAAACTAGTTTAATAATAAATTAATTGGTCTCTTGAATTTTTTTCGAAGCATGCGCCATTTTTGAGTAAAAAATAAAACATTCTGGGTTACGTTCGACTGTAGGGACACATTGTTTGACGTTTCACTTTATTTTTTGATTTAAATGATATTAAGTATTTTAATTCACTTTAGGTTTGGAAATACGAAAAAAAGTATAAATCAGTTATATATTTTAATTAAATACTTTTTAAAAATAAGAAAACGAGTCTTTCATTATGTTATTTATATATATATTTAAACACTCTGTATCTCGGAAACATAGCATATTTCGGCCTACGATTATAGAAACTTTTTGCAAAATAAATCCTAAAATCCCCCCTGAAATAATTGGCATTTATTTACAAACAGTATGTAGAATAATATTCTATAAACATTAGAAGTGACTAATGACTAACATATTTGGTTCTTGGAAGGAACGTATAACATCAACACCTGTACAAAAGCATTCGTAGTAGTTATGGTACTTCATTCATTTTAATTCAAACACCTACTCACTACTGACCTATCGGTGACATTGAGTTTTCATGGTTGGGTGTAAATAAATTTTTGTTCCCTAAAAATATCCATATTACGATTACTATTTTATTTCGAAAGAAATAAAAATAATAATGCATTTTTTTAACTCCGAAGGTACCTCATATGGGAGAACTAAACAAATGCAATCAATAATTGTTTGATTTATTTATTATTAAATTTTATATCAACAGTTATTAGATAATTTATTAACCGAGAAAGTTTTCAATCAACATGTAGTGGAATTCATATGTGCGTTAAACATTTTTTCTATTTAAATATTAAATAAGTGAAATCGAAAGAAATTTTGAAAATTTGGTCTACAAAATAGTTTTAATAGTTTGTCAGGATGGCATCGGGATTGGGAAAATATTTAATTTGATTTTGAGGTGCAAATGGGTTTTGAATTGGGCGACTGCAGTGAGGAAATTGGGTATTTACGCGAGAGTCGAAGAGTATTTCGTTAAGGTTTTGCCACACCTTTAACCATATACCGAAAGGAATGCGTGGAATGAGGTAAAGAACGTCTGTCTTTAATAAAGATATATTCAGGTACTTACAATTAAAGATATCTTGCGTATAATTACTAACACTGGTATGTTCTTACACGAATTCCCTTCTAAGTAATAAAAATAGAGTAAATAGAAATTAGAAGAAACCGAAAACATTAGGAGAAATCTTATATTAGTGAGATAGACATAGGTACTAACATAATAGTGGTGTTGGTTGCAATATTACGGTACAACGAATACATAATTGATTATGATTTTAATGTTAGGATAAACGGTAACTTAAATACAGACATCTGTAGAACACATAGTTAAGCCACGGTGGCTTACATTAAAAGGAATACGATACAGCAACAATAACAGTTAAAAATAGTTGTTACAAAATATAGCATTGAACTTACCTTTCTCTCGAACGATATGCTATCAGTAATCCATATTAGTGTCGTTTTTCCATATAAATTAAAATTGTTTTCGATGGATTTATCTATTTAAACACAATACATCCATAAAAATATAAACTATAGGCAACACAGATCGACAAACTACAGTCGCGCTTCGCGCTCCCACCTGACAGGTAAAGTAAGATTAGTTGGTTCTTCAGCTCAAAGCACATGCGTACTAAAGTTAAAAATTGGTACCTGACGAGGTACCTACGACTATGACCGACTCGCTGTCATAATAATCACTTAGTGGTACCTGTGCTTAGGACACACATTTACGTTTGGCTCAGTTGCATGCTTAATTTTTGATTAAAAAATAATTAACTACTATTGATATTTTCTAAATTTTATAAACCAAAATTAAAATGTCATTTGTGAATTTAGAAAGTTGCTTATACCGTTCATTAATTAATACGTATTTAATGTAATAATTATAATTTTTAATACCTAAATAATAAATAATAGTGCCTATACATTTCATGTTTTCTATTGTATTAGCATCCGACTATTATTAATAGTTCAGAACCGACGTTTTTCAAATATGCAAGTTTGAAATTTGAAAATGTATGTACGGGGGTTTGTCAAGACGTTTTTTTATGAAACAAATTCAAATTATTAGGTACATGTTTACACATTGAGGCTCAAGCTACTGCTAGACGGGTGTGTTAGACACCCTCAAAGCTGGAATTTTTTGTTGAATTTTTTTTTTATCGAATTTTTGGTCCACCCACTCGTAATTCGGCCTGGGAGCGCTTCATAGGTATTATTTTTAAGACCATTGAAAATTAAATTTTATAGAAAAATGCAATGGTTTATTTAAAAAATAATGTAAGTCAATATAATCTTAAAACTTTCAGTATATATATTATATAATAATATATATATATAGTTATATACATAAAAATAAAAAAAAATATTTGGATTCTGCTATAAATTTATTAATAATAATAATTATTATTATTGCAATGCGAGCCATTTCATTATTCAGTCATGCTCTAATCCTCCAAGTCCCTCTCTATCTTATTTGATGTTTATCAGAGTTGGTTGTGGCCACTCTTTGATAGAAGCGACTTTTTCCTTATCTACAGCCACGCTATCCTTACTGACTATATGACCCAGGTAATTGACTTTATTTTGAAATAGCTGGCATTTCTTGGGGTTTAGCATCAGTTGGGCAGCTTGAAATCTTTTAAAAATATCTTCTAAGTTCTTTAGATGTTCATCAAATGTCTTCCCCAAGACTATGATGTCGTCTAAATAAACCAGGCATGTTTTCCAGGATAACCCGCTCAATACATTTTCCATAAGTCTTTCAAATGTCGCGGGGCATTACATAGTCCAAATGGCATGACATTAAATTGCCACAATCAATATCCAGTGGTATAAGCTGTCTTTTCTTTGTCTACTGGGTCCATTTCCACCTGCCAATATCCAGACTAAGTCTAAGGTAAAAAATAGTTTACTTCCGGCCAATGTGTCCAAGGTATCGTCGATACGAGGTAGAGGGTAACTGTCTTTTTTGGTAACATTGTTCAACTGACAGTAATCCACATAGAACCTTGTAATTCCATTATTTTTCTGCACCAGTACTACCGGAGAGACCCAAGGGCTGGTAGAAGGTTCTATCACCCTGTCTTCCTTCATTTCCTAAACAATCCTTTCAGCTTCCTCTCTCTTGGCCTTTGGGAATCTTCGAGCTGATCGACGAATCGGCCTGGCATCACCAGTGACAATTTTGTGTTATACAACAGAAGTTCTTCCTGTTCTTCCTGTTTTTCCTCCTTTTGGTACAAAAATGTCACGATATCGTCGAACAAATTTCCTTTATTTTCTTTTTCTCTAATTGATTTAGAGATTGATCAGCAGCTGCAATCATTTGCTCGAATTTGTCGTTGGAATTATCAGAAGTTGTTGTCTGACGAATTATGGAAGTTACTGGTACACAAGTTCCGATTCTGGTCTCTTTCTTGATGGTAATTGGGTAATCATTAACGTTTATAAGACGAACTGGAATCTCTTTAGCAGTCGTGACCAACCCCTTTCCGATCAGAATTCCTCGTCCAACCTCTTCATCGTGGTTCCAAGGTTCCATCATGACAGGTGTTCCTTCTTCCATAGTTTCTTGAAGCCGTAGTGCTATAATACGGTTTCACATCTATAAGGTACCACCGTATCCTTCTGTATAGCAACTGGCACGGAACTGTCTCCATATGGATGTAGGAATACCCCTTGGGCACCAACTTTGATCACTCTCTTCTTAAAGTCCAACTGAAAGCCACGTAAGTTCATTACATCCATTCCAAGAATAACATCTTCTTCGATATCAGCGACAATAACAGTATGAGTAAACTGTTCTGTACCAATCCCCAATTGAACCTGGATTTCCCCTTGGATGTTGGCACTTTCACCTGTGGCAGTACGCAGTCGCAATCTTGTTGGTAGAAGCCTCTTACGGTTGGTTATTTATGGTTGTTGTTGTTGGTCGTATAATAACCTTGTTACTCCAATATCCACCAACAGTGTATACTTTTTACCATTTACTTCGCCTTCTACGTATACACTATCATCGCGACATTTCAAAGAGGTTATCAGTATGATAAGATCGAAACTGCCCCCTCTAGGCGTCTCCTCGAAGAGCGATGGTCAAATTTACTGCCTTCTCTCGTTCAGACCATAAGTTTGCTCTGGCAGCTGTTTCGAACTGTTTAAGGTAGTTCGTCCATGACATCTTTCCGTCGAAAGTTGGGGCTTTAACACGAGCAGAATTTACAGCTCCTTCCAATTTCAACTTTGACTCCACCTCATGGCACTTTATTTTATTGTTCTTGGCCGGTTCTGTACGTTCCAGTTCTTCTATCTTTTTTTTCCATCTGTTTTATTTTCTCCTCAATGCAAGATATCTTGTTTTCCACATCAACAGAGATTTCATTTTTTAGAGAAGACATTTTGTTTTCCAAATCGCAAGAAAGAAATATCCGAATATCTTCTATATCCTGGGATATAGACGGACATTTGGATATCCATATTAGATCCACTGGATATATTGGATATATCTGGGATTTCTTATATTGTCTGGAAGATTAGATATTTTGCTGGATAATCCATAGGATATCTTATATATTCTGGATATAGACGGACATTTGGATATCCATATTAGATCCACGGGATATTTCAGATATCCTGTGGATATATTGGATATCCACAAAAGATAATCTGTGGATATCTCTGGGATTTGGTGTGTTGTCTGGGGTGACGTCAGACAACCCAAAAAAATATACTAAAGAGAGGATCTGGCTTGAGGACCTTTTTTTTGGGGCTCCTACAAATATTTCGCTTTTGAAAAGAATTCCGTCGCCAAAAAAGTTTAAGAGACACTGTGCTATATAATGTGCGTTCAAATTCTATCGAAAACACAAAATTATTGTTTTGACATCGTTGACATCTTCTGTAAATATTTTAAACCAGTTGTTACGACGCTGTATGCTGTATAGAAAATTAAAAAATGTATATATACTTTTTCTCAGTTCAGACGATTTCCGTTAGATGTCAGTATTATTTTATTAATCGACGGTTGCCATTTTTAGTCCAGTTTTAAGAGAATTATTATGAATATAGATGTCTAAATAGGTAGGCTAAAAATACCTACTCCTAATAAAATACGTAAATGCCTAATTAAAAATCTATTTAACAACAAAAATCATTTTGTTGTAGGATATGATTATTTATGCCTGAAAATTCTCTGATTAAAAATAAGACGATTAAACAAAATATGCCTAGATAAAAATATGGTTTCCGAAATACAGTATTAAAATTAAAAATTCAAAAAATTTTTATTTCTCAGTATAATTTTACTAAATTTGGTAAACATTTATTACTTGTTAACAAAATAATCAGTTAAATAAACTTTGCCAGTGTCGTACCTATGGATAAGTAACACTTTTATCCCCTCTAAATTTTACGCCACTGTTTAAAAACTTATTTGGACTATACTTTTACTTTTGTTGATGTTTTTTAAATAAATCATGTAGTCTTGTCAACTGTCAATCAATAGGTGCCAGTGGGAAGGGCTTGTATATCTAAGGGAGTTGCGACATATTCTTTCATCTTGAAGACTATTTTTATTCGAAATAGTAGTCGCCAAGCCTGCCAATTTATATAGAAATGTATAAGCGGATTTTTTAAATATTATTTTTATTGTGTTTGACATAAAATATTTAAATGTAATCCATTATTCATAATTTTACATATAGTAGATGGAATACATCGTATCTCGCAACCCTTAGATATACCAAACCGTCCCACTGGAAATTCATTTGTTTGGAATGCCTAATAATAAAGTGATTGGTTTTCGATATATTCTCACTCAAAGGTGGATATTTTTTTATAAAATTATACTGAGCAAACATTTTTGGTGTCATAATATACACCTATCAGCAAAAATCAGTTAAATAAACTTTGCCAGTGGCATACGGATGTGTAACACCTTCATCTCTTCTACATTTTGCGCCTCTCCCCAAAATCTTATTTGGACTATAATTTTAAATTTGTTAATTTTTGGTAACAGTATCACAATATCAGAAAAATAATGTATCAAAAGTGTGGACTAGATTTAGATAAATACAAATAATATTTCTCAAAATAAATCATTTGTTTAAAACATATACGGTATAGGTAACTAAAAAAAGTGATTTTATTCGATGTAATCGTTTATTTTTGTTGGTTTACCAGTTCCCATGTGCGGTTTCTTGATACCTGAACTCCTAAACATCGGAAACATTGTGTGTACCAAACCAACTAAACTGATAAAAAATATAGATAAATAATTAGTTGCACTATTTTTCTTTCGCTGTGGTTTAAAGAATAAACAATAACGTGTAACATTTTTATAAGCTCTCATTTTCAGATCATGGGAATTAAAATTATTTGATAACGAATGTCGCAGCGAATTTGAAGTGGTTTGTTTGATATTTTCTCACCATTTTTTTATTTATTTATAAAGTAGTATAGTAGTTCTATACCACCTCAATATGCAGTACCCGTGAAATAATTTTTTAAACTTGTGAAATTTTTGCTAATGATAGTTTTTATTTTCAAAATAACAGAGGAACATTAGACAATTTGGGGGAAACGGCGAAAGGAAGATTTTGGTTTAGAATTTAGATTAAAGATAAGGAACAAACAAAATTTTATTTCGGGTTTATACAATTCGTCAATCAGTCAAATTCATCAGAATTAAAGTCAGAATTAATCATCTCTGTTCGGTGATATAATAATGGGAGCAATTCCCAATCTGTAATTACCTTTTACTTGCATCTCCTATCAGGGCATTTAAATCCAATAAATGTTTTCTCAAATTTTGGTGACTCTTAATTTTGTTTTCTAATCTTCACGTAACTTAAGGTAGATAAACTACCTCTGAATTTAATACTGAAGACCCACTCTTTACATCTATTTTCGAGCTAAATCATAATAACAAATTATATCTATATAACATACCATTTGAAAATTTATATACATTGTTTTCTCAAATTTGTGGGATGATGGTTCGGAGTGCTTCAGATCACATGTTAATCGCTTCTTTGAGGGATACAAAAAGAGTCACAAGGAGATAAGTCGGGACTGTATTACGGATGTTCCAGTATTTCTCAACCTAATGTACAAAATGAATTAAAAAAAACATTTAAATTGTACTTATTTATTTTTAATCAATCCTGTGGACAATTTTTTATATACAGTAAAATCGCAACGAATAATCTACTGCTCTAGGAAAGAAATGACGCCTTACATCTTCTATTTAGAGTTTAGAGTAACGACAAAGAGTAGAAGTGAGGATGTGTATTCAAAAACGAAAAAATAAGAACTAACCCGGCTTATTAATAAGAGCAAGAGAGAGAAGAAACCATGTGATGGAATAAAGTTGAAAGTGGTTGAACGTTTCAGGGCCGGTAATAGCCAATGCGGGTCCAGTGAAAAAATCGAGCTCTTTACCAGGTGGCTACCATATGCAAAGTATCTTGAGTTCTAACTTATTTTATTTCGAATTGGTCTTTTCTAACAGCAACCGCAAGAAGTTTGTGTAGCCTTAAGTCTATGTAAATATATAATATTAAGTTTAAAAAGGAGAAAATGTAGCTTTGGTTAATTAATTTATATTTTTCTTAGTAATGTTTAATACTATTTTACTGTTTATTATTTCAATTTTTGTTAAAGATACAAGTTTTAAATAAAAGTTATATGGATTTGAAAAAGGGATATTTTAAAAATATATTTGAGTATACAGGGTATTATGCTTTTGCCTGCAAATAAAAATGTATGTTTTTAAATGTAACACATGTATTTTATTTCAGATTTAGAATTATTACAGAGTTGCCAAGCAATTTTTTTTGTGTAATGAATGTTGCAAACCTCAAATAAAATCATAATTTAGGTAGATTAGTAATGATTTCAAATTTGCCTATCTAACGATGATTCATGATAGGACTGGTACATTTAATACAAAGTGTTTTGGAAATATAGTTCATTTTAGGTTTAATATACTAATTTTTTCAAAAGCAACACCCTGTATATTTTATTTTAGCATTACCTTAGTTATGAATTTACCTACATAAATTAGTCTATTATTTATATACAATATGGCCCATATAATAGATCGACAACTCTTTTATTATTGGGGATAGGAAGAATATTGAATAGAAAAATTGTACGATGTACGATCATATTTTAAAAGTATATTTAAGTATACAGGGTGATCCATTAGTGTGAAAAAGTCCAATATCTCCGCCATTATTAGAGATATAAAAAAATATTTTCACAGAACGGTAGACAGCGTTAAACTACATTTTTGAAAATTATTTTTGAATATACATGGTGTTTAATAACTTTTCTCAGGAACCAACTTATGTTCTTTTTAATGGATCACCCTGTATTTTATTTTATATTTGAATTGCCCTTTTCCCACTCTAAAAATATAAATTATTATTGGTTTATACAGGGTGTTTTGCAGGATATAATCAGTTTTGTATGAAAATCGTATTGAATTCAATGACCTATATCATGCAAAAGAAACAATTGACAACCAATTTTTTTTCTACCACAATTTTTCGATCATGGTCAAATTTTATTAATTCGCATCAAATCTGTACAGGGTGAATCAAAACACAAATACATAATTTTCTCAATTTTTTTAAATGGTTCACCCTGTATTTTATATCATCGTTCAAAAGTATCCTAATTATACTTGAATTTGATTTAAGCATTCCCTATGCTATACCAAAAGTTAATAGTTTTTAGAGATTTTTAAATTTTAGTGGTAAAAACGATAATTCAGAAACTAATTGATAGAAAATACATTCTGTTTGATATTAGTAATTATTACAATTTAACCAGCTGTAATTTATTATCGATATCAAAAGTAGTGTTTCCGGATAAAATTTGACCATGATTGAAAAACTGTGGTAGAAAAAAAATTGATTATCAATGGTTTCTTTTGCATGATATACGTCATTGAATTCAATACGATTTTCATACAAAACTGAATATATCCTACAAAATACCCTGTATAAACCAATAATTTATATTTTTAGAATGGGAAAAGCGAAGGCAATTCAAATATAAAATAAAATACAGGGTGATTCATTAAAAAGAACATAAGTTGGTTCTAGAGGGAAGTTATTGAAAAATAATTTTAAAATATGTAGTTTAACGCTGTTTACCGTTCTGTGAAAATATTTTTTTATATCTCTAATAATGGCGGAGATATTGGACTTTTTCACACTAATGGATCACCCTAGGGTACTCCGTAAATGAGAGACGAACCAAACGTATTCTTTTTTAAACAAAACACCCTGTAATTAGTCACGCATAACAGTTAAAAAGTTTGTTGTTCCTATTTTAAAGAAGATAATCACAAAAATCAAAATTACAAAATAATCTAGCATCCAAAATAAATCTTTGTAGTTTTCATACAATAATTTTAGTTAAATTCGTAGAAGATTGTAATGTTTTTATATTATTTTCCTAATAAAGCTTCTTGTTCTTCCCACGTACAATATCGATATATTACAAATAAAATTGACAGGTATTTGTAACATTTAACACTACTATATGAGGTGTACAAATCGTATTTTTAATCCTCCACCGTTTATTGTTAGAGTTGTACCTCAGAAACCTTACAAAGGGCCTATAATATCGTTGCTACCATCTCTCGGCCTCTGTACGTGATGTAAGTAGGTACGCTGAAAAGTTTTTCTTGTAGGTATTGTTACGAAGACCGTTTCAGACAGGCGACAGGTAAAACCAGGTAGGCGCAACTATCAAGCTTTACAAACTTAGTAAAGTAGTATTTGAAAGTGTACCGAATATTGCCGAGCGCACGACGATTCACAGAAAGGCCAACTAACAGTAGTTGACTGCACTGGTAAACTCAACTCTCCCGAGTTTTGATGTGTACGAAAACACGGCGAAGCGGATTGAGACACATTTTATTCTACAAGTCGTTCTAAAAAGTTTCAAACTTTGTTGTTTATCAATTAAACTCGAACTTTTTGTCTGTTTTATAAGTGATAGTGGCTGTTTTTTGTGCTTGGATGGACTTACAGTGAACTTTTAATAACTTTTGTGTTTATGTTTTTATTCTAAACAGTTTTAATTTAAAAAGTTGAGACTATGCGTCACCGCAGATTCTGGGTCTACAATAATAATAGGTAAGTCATTAAGAGATTTATTAGAAAAATATATTTACCTTTAGTTAAAATAGAGAGGTTATTATTTACACAAGAATCGTTTCACTTCTTTATTTAGGTAGATGTTTAGTTTATTTTAAAAGTATCAAAATAGATCCACGTAAGTTTACAAAAGTTTATGGGCATTTAAACTACAAATTTACTATTGTAGTTACTTTAAAAACCAATTTGGTATATTGCTTAAAGTTTTGACAGGTTTATCTTCCGCAAACAAACAAAACAATTCTTTAGCCCGGGAATAAGTTTTTTTTTTTTGGAAGTAGTGTCTTGAGTGCTTCTTGATTTTTACAATGCTTGTAGTATTTTTTATTCTATCGAAGTATGTTTTTGACATTAGATAATTATACGGCCAAAAAGTATTACTTACCTATAAAAATAAAGATATTTTAGTGGAAAAATACAAATTCATAAGTTAGAGAAATAAAATGCTATAAAACTTTTGGTCAACACAACTCTTTGTAGGTAAATATCTAACTACTTAGGGACATTTAATATGTTGTCAAATGAACTACACCTAAATACACAAAATATTTAAATCTAAAATTAAATATTAGATATTTTTTAAAAGCAGAACGTTCTTATACATATAACGCATTAAACAGTATTTAAAATAATAAACAAAATTGATAGAAACAAAAAATTCTAATGTGACAAACATTTATTAAATTTTATAATATAAAATTTATATTTAAGACGATTACCTATCACAAGACTTCATACCTACTTATCCTGATTGTAGACATATCCTTACTCTCCCAATATCTGCCATAAAAAATATCAATAAGTACGTATTTTTATTATAAATTTATGCAATATTAATTTTTAAATATGTTTAGCACAAGCTGTACCTATTTAATAAACAGTTTCCTTCATACTTTCGTTTAGTTACTTATATTTGTAATTATTAAAAAAATTAATGTATTTTTCTTATTGTAAATAAACTTATTTATTATGTAAACAAAATAATCTTCATTTCTGTATAGCATAACAATTTCATGTTTTTAAATAAATTTAAACAAAATGTTACATGGTATTATAAAACCTAAAAATGTAAATAAAAATTAGATTTAACTAAGTACCTAAATCTTTTAGTTAGATTTGATTGATAAATTAGCAGCTGAGCCTACACACATTAATTATGTAATTTTACGTCGTTGAAAAGACACATTCAAGCTATATATAAGCTATTTACTCGTTAATAAAACTTCTACCTACATATATTATTTTGAGTAGGTATATAAATGACCGTTTATTTACTTTCCCTTCCTTTAACCAGACGATTCAAATATAATGCAAATTCATGATGTAAGGTCTTGCTCACCTATTAATTAAGTATTAAATTGTTCTTGTATTGATATTGCTCTATAAATAATACAATGGCTAATATAGTTATGAGCTATGCTTATGGGAGTGTAGAAAAATTATTTTTGTTTAATTGGTAAGATCCGAGGTAAGATCTAATAATAATACCTAATGAGTAAACCGTTGGTGTATTTTGGTGTACAATAATAAGTTCTTTCGTTCGTCACACTGGTGTAGGAATGAACTACACCAATGGACACTAAACCCTTCGTTTAGCCCGGTGTAAAATCCACTACACCTTTCTGTTGACGATGTGGTGTACACTGGTGGATATTTTGTCCACCAGCTATTTAGCAGAAGTGAATTACACTCAATTACACTCATCAGGAGGAAGTAAACTAGGTAAATAAGGTGGTGTAATTGACACTGGTGGACATTTCACCAACAGCTAACGAAAGAATCTATTATATACTTCTGGTGTACTATGGTGAACTAATGGTAGGATTCTGTGAAATATCCTATACACTACAGAATCTGTAAGATATAGTAATGTAATTTTTTACCGATTTTGGCTTACAGATCTTATATATTGTCTCAGAATCGACCCATAAGATAATTATCAACTGTACCAGTACATTTATATTAGCATTTAGTTTGTGGTTTTCTAATTTGACCATTAATTATCAATTTTATAATAATACATACCCGCACATTATACCAGAAATTAACATAAATAATTGTATCAGTGTGAATCAAAGCTCTACTGATGTACTGATTACCATTTAAACTCACCCCTACATCGGTACTTACCAAGAGCAGCTCCAGGGAAGGCCATGGCCCCGAAATTAATATTTTTACAATCCATGAGCCTTTTATTAAAAACTATGCTAAAAAAGAAACTGTTATTGGCAATGGTCCCTTCCGAAAATTCTGCTAGAAACCGACCTTAGTACCCACTGTTTAAAACTTAAAATACAGTATCAATTCTATATTTATTATGTCTTTACCCCTCGCATTTTGTTTAGAACGTTTTGTAAATAATATTAAGTGACTTACTTCTTTTTTACTTTGTAGGTATTTAATAATAATTATAATAATACATTTTATTGACTTTATATTAACAAAACGACTTTAGATCAGTTAAAAACTGTTCTTCCTCTAAAGTCTGCTTGAAAGTAAAAAAAAAATAATATAAAAATACACATAATGAATAAGAAAATCACAATAAAACATTTTTTTTTACATTTATAAGTATAAGTTAGCAGTTAGAAGAAACAAAAAAAAATAAAGCTTAGTTATATGATTTTTATAAGCTGGCAAGGACATTTTTTAAAATTTGTTGAGTATTGCATTATAATATTTTGAAATCTGATAAAAGAATCAATTTCGAAATTAAGATGTCTTATTTAGGAATATCTGTAAGATCCTTTCAACCAATATGTTATAGTCCAAGAGCTCTTTGCAAATTTTGAAATATGCCTCAAAAGCATGTAAAAATATTGTACTATACCAACCGGCACCTGTGCCAATCACTATCCTGAGCAAAGTAGTTAACAAAAAAAACGTTATGTCTTAATTATGTGACTTTTTTAATATAGAAAATATTTATTTTTTAACCACTTTGCTCAGGATAGTCATTGGCACAGGTGTTGTTCTGTAAAGTACAATGTTATTACATCCTTTGGAGTATATTTCATCTTATCAGATGACGGTCAAAATTTGCAGTGGGCTCTCCTACTATTACACTGAATTATTTAATGCCTATGTTCTTACTTAATAAAAAAGAAATGAACATGTAAATTGAGGAACAAAATAATGTACCTATTGCTTAAATGATATTTCTCCATGACTTTTTTACCAGTCGCTTATAGAAAAAGTAAATATTTAAATTTCGAGGCAACAAGGTGTGTGAATAGTAATCAGAAGTTTAGAACTTAACCTGTTTCCATCGTCCTTTTGTAAATATTACAAATAAAGTGCTTGTACATGGTTTCAACGTTTGGGTACAAATTAGAGAATCTATGTAGACATTAGGCAGTACCTATACCGTTTTATTTTATTAGAATAAATTTTATAATGCTATGGCAAATATTCTAGTAATCGTTATTGATAATAAAGCAGTGCCTTTATTTATATTGAGATAAAAAGGATTGTATCCTACTTAGTATTTTATAAGGTACATATTTATCTATCCAATCTATTGTTCTGGCTATTTATTATCATAATATTTACTTTTTTTTGAAAGTATGAGCAAAAATTTATAAAACATTACTTAGTAATTTTGATATTGAACCATATTTTTGTCGGATTTTAATTTTCATCTAAACACGCTTACTATAAGACAAACACTATCTATAAAAACCAAATAAGTTTTTTTTTAGGTTTGACGTTTATATGTGCATTCATTTGTCAAATATTAAAGAAACGAAATGTTAAAAACTGAAATTTATCATTTATTTACCCCTACAGTTAATAATTCCGGAATAATTCTCAATTATTCTAATAATTGGTACTGGGGCGTATTTGAGGACCGTATCTACTAACTCTAGAGAAACTTTTAGAATGGCTTAGTTATTCTTAGATGTTCTTTTGCTGTTCCTAGTTATTCTTTCAGTATTCCAGTTATTCTTTGGGTATTCCCTTTTATATTAGATATTCTTGTGACCTACGCATTTTATTGGAAGTGTTAGCCCCTCGTGGAACACTTAGCCTTGATATAAAAATCGCGAATAAGCCAAAATAGCATTAAAAAAAATTTAAGTCGATTATAATGATTTTCAAGTTACTGCAGAAACTGTTGCTTTTAAATTGCTCAATTTTTTTTACCCCTATTTAGTGCTAACTAACCTTGTCACAATTACCCTTCTGCAACATTTTTTGTTTGATTCAATGTTTATTGTAAATATTTCATGGTCGTTCTTTCCGAGAATTTTCTAATTATTGGATTTATAGAATATTGTAATTGCACCGGTCACGGTAGCTAGCATAAAATTGTTAATTTTTTTCACGGGCATTTAATTGTTAATAAAATACACAAATGTTAAATCGAGTGTACTATGGAATCTCGTTCAAATATGCAAATTGTCCAATGAATTTATGTAATTTAATATCAAAGAAATACAAACAATAATGAGAAGAATATTATTCAAGGTTTTCATCAAAATTCAGGGCTTTCGAAGCAATTTGATAATTATCTCGTCTATAAAATTGCCATAAAGAATAGGATAGACGTCAATATAAAGATGCTAAACATTTAGCGTACCTAAAGTTTCCAACAACAATTATACACACTGCAATAAAATATTACTTAATTCTTAGTAAGAGAATATAAATATTATTGCAAACGCCTTACTTGGTTGGCTGTCCAGAAAATGTAAATTCTCAGAAAAAGTACTCGTGGCAGCAGGAAATCTGAAGACCTTATGTATTTCATTTAATATGCTGAATAATTCATTGTAATTGATTATATCACATTGCTTTTAAAGTGTTTATGCGGCAAGATTTGTGTAGTCGTATACACATACACAGTTTTAAAAAAATGTCACGAAAAAGGCTTAACAAAAGAACTTTTGTCGGCTACTATCAACTACCTTTGAATATAAACTCTTGCAGTAACCATCTACTTACAATATTACTTATTTTTTATCGAGGCGTGTTGA